CAATGTTGGTTCGCTCTGCCGCTGACAATGGGCCAGGTAAGCGCACACCTGTACGACAGAGACCTTCCCATGATATTCGCTTACAGGTAACACAATAGAGCAGCCCTCAAAGTGTTCGGCTCAGCGTGTGTAGAGACTCACACGGGGGGGGGGGGGGTATCTTTTCTGTATTTGTTCCGTCACTACGACCAGAGTTCGATTCCTATCCACGGCCACCTACAGCAGCGGGTGATAGTCCAAGTGAGTCCTTGTCCTTCCACAGAGCTCGAGTCGAGCCTTAAGTGCGTGAGTGCTCGGTGCACGGTGTGTGACTATCAGAACTGGGAAGACAAAGGCGGCCGGGCCGGGGTGCTCGCTCACAGCACCCATCACTTGCCCCCTGCGGTTGTTTTTATGTGCCAGACGCCTTTCATTCACGTGGGCCCATTGAACTCTTGAACAAAGCTTTGTCCATTATAGACCATCATCATCAACATCATCGCTACCATCAACATCACCACCACAATCACCACCATAGTTACCACCACCATCATCATCACCATCATCACCACCACCACAACCACCATCATCACTACCATCAACATCACCACCACAATCATCACCACCATAATTACAATCACCATCATCATCACCACCACCATCACAATCACCACCACCACCATCATCACCACCATCATCATCACCACCATCACAACCACCACCACCATCATCATCACCACCATCACAACCACCACCACCATCATCATCACCACCATCACAACCACCACCACCATCATCATCACCACCATCACAACCACCACCACCATCATCATCACCACCATCACAACCACCACCACCATCATCATCACCACCATCACAACCACCACCACCATCATTATCACCACCATCACAACCACCACCACCATCATCATCACCACAATCACAACCACCACCACCATCATCATCACCACATCACAACCACCACCACCATCATCATCACCACCATCACAACCACCACCACATCATCATCACCACCATCACAACCACCACCACCATCACATCACCACCATCACAACCACCCCACCATCATCATCACCACCATCACACCACCACCACCATCATCATCACCACCATCACAACCACCCCATCATCATCATCACCACCATCACACCACCATCATCATCATCACCACCATCACAACCAACCACCATCATCATCATCACCACCATCACAACCACCACCACCATCATCATCATCACCACCATCACAACCACCACCACCATCATCATCATCATCACCACCATCACAACCACCACCACCATCATCATCATCATCACCACCATCACAACCACCACCATCATCATCATCATCACCACCATCACAACCACCACCACCATCATCATCATCACCACCATCACAACCACCACCACCATCATCATCATCACCACCATCACAACACCACCACCACCATCATCATCATCACCACCATCACAACCACCACAACCACCATCATCATCATCACCACCATCACAACCACCACAACCACCATCATCATCATCACCACCATCACAACCACCACAACCACCATCATCATCATCACCACCATCACAACCACCACCACCATCATCATCATCACCACCATCACAACCACCACCACCATCATCATCATCACCACCATCACAACCACCACCACCATCATCATCATCACCACCATCACAACCACCACCACCATCATCATCATCACCACCATCACAACCACCACCACCATCATCATCATCACCACCATCACAACCACCACCACCATCATCATCATCACCACCATCACAACCACCACCACCATCATCATCATCACCACCATCACAACCACCACCACCATCATCATCATCACCACCATCACAACCACCACCACCATCATCATCATCACCACCATCACAACCACCACCACCATCATCATCATCACCACCATCACAACCACCACCACCATCATCATCATCACCACCATCACAACCACCACCACCATCATCATCATCACCACCATCACAACCACCACCACCATCATCATCATCACCACCATCACACCACACCCACCATCATCATCATCATCACCACCATCACAACCACCACCACCATCATCATCATCATCACCACCATCACAACCACCACCACCATCATCATCATCACCACCATCACAACCACCACCACCATCATCATCATCACCACCATCACAACCACCACCACCATCATCATCATCACCACCATCACAACCACCACCACCATCATCATCATCACCACCATCACAACCACCACCACCATCATCATCATCACCACCATCACAACCACCACCACCATCATCATCATCACCACCATCACAACCACCACCACCATCATCATCATCACCACCATCACAACCACCACCACCATCATCATCATCACCACCATCACAACCACCACCACCATCATCATCATCACCACCATCACAACCACCACCACCATCATCATCATCACCACCATCACAACCACCACCACCATCATCATCATCACCACCATCACAACCACCACCACCATCATCATCATCACCACCATCACAACCACCATCACCACCATCATCATCACCATCATCATCACCACCATCACAACCACCACCATCATCATCATCACAACCACCACCATCATCATCACCATCATCACCACCATCACAACCACCACCACCATCATCATAAGCAGCCATGACCAATCCACTGCTGGACTAAGGCCTCCCCCAAGCCGCCTACGCCGCCACTCACGACCCTGCGATGGATCAATCCACCCGGCACCTCCTTACGCCGCTCCATCTCCCCCGAAGGACGTCCCTCCTCCTTGCCGCCTCTGGGACGCGTGCCCCATTCGTTGATAATCCGGCAGACTTACTCAAACTTAGGCGGGTGGGTGGGTGGGTGGTGGGGGCGGCGACGTTTCTTGTGACCTATTTCGTCTCTACCAGGTGTAACACCCCCCTCCCTCCCTCCCAAAATAAACATACAAGAGCAAGCCGAAAAGTCCGGAGCAATCGACAAGACAGCAGCCTCAAACACATGTGACGCGTTGTGTAAAGCGCGCGCGCGCGCACAGGACCGGTGCCATTCAGGGGAAGAAAAAAACAACAACCCCCTTACAAGTGTTGGGGCCATTGCATGCGGTCTTGTTTTAGGCGACGGAGGCGGTGTTAAGTTCGGCTCCACCTGTTAAGAATTGGCATCAAGAGCCGCCGCCGCCGTTGCTGCCCCACCCCAGAGGAGGGGGGTTGGGGGGGTAAGGCTTTGGTTGGGGGGGGGAGTAAGGCTTAGGTGGGGGGCAGGGGTGTCTGTGAAGGTTGTGAGTCAGGCAGAGGGCGCCTCCTGGCGGTGGCGATGATTCGGTCAAGCCGCACTCGTTTTATTCAGTTCGCGAATGCGTTCACCGACTCGGCCGAGTCGTGTTCGCCCGTTCGGTAACATCGCTCATTCGTCCGGCAACTCATCCATTCGCTAACTCATTCACCCATCAATTCACCCGCGCGTTCATTCATCCATACCTTAGCCCATTCACCAACACATCCACTCGCTCACTCATATCACCAATTCAATCACTTACCTATGCACTAACTCATTCACCCATTCATTCAGCCATGCCCAAGCTCATTTTACAATGCGCTAACCCAGGGGTCGGGAACCTTTTTGACTGGGAGAGCCATAAAAGCCAAATATTTCTAAATATATTTCATTGAGAGCCATATAGTATTTTTAACGTATAATAAATTAAATGTCTTGTTTTTAATGCGACTTCTGGTGCTACATGGTTTTGCTGATGGCCTTGTAGTCTGGTTGAGCTTCATGCAGGCGTGACCCGTGCAATTTATCTTCAAAACTAATTTCTGTTTACTTTAAAATGACACGGTATTATTAAGCAAATATCACAAGTATTTTAAAATCAGTTCCAAACTGATTTTTTTTCAACTCAAAAATTGTCTGGAAGCCATATGCCGTCACTGGAAGAGCCATATATGGCTCGCGAGCCATAGGTTCCCGACCGCTGCGCTAACCCATTCATTCATTCTTTCGCGCCACGTCAAGTGGGTCCACAGATCTGCAATTCGTAGCCCCAATCGCGCGCACAAGTTTCGGTGATCTTCCACGCGCGAGTTAGGGGTGGATTCACATCGCCTCCATGGCGGGACTTTAAAAACCAAAAACTTACACCGACATTCACCAGCTGTGCCACAGGCGTCGACTCACGAGGCGGCGGGGAGTCCACTCGCAACGAGAACGAGCCGCAGAGGCAGATGTCACAGAGCTACCACCGAGATCCATTCAAATAACCTCCAATCGACACACACGCACACACAACACACGCACGCAAACACACACACGCACGCACACGCACGCACACACAACACACACGCACGCGCGCACACACAACACACGCGCGCACACACAACACACACGCACGCACACACAACACACACGCACGCACACACACGCGCGCACACACAACACACACGCACGCGCGCACACACAACACACACGCACGCGCGCACACACAACACACACGCGCGCGCACACAACACACACGCACGCGCGCGCACACAACACACACGCACGCGCGCGCACACAACACACACGCACGCGCGCGCACACAACACACACGCACGCACGCACACACAACACACACGCACGCGCACGCACACAACACACACGCACGCGCCGTGGTCGTGGAAGGGGCTTGACCGGTGCGTGTGGCCGCTCCCCCCCTCTCCTCCCCCCCCGGAGTGGGGAGCTGCGTTGGCGCGTCTCACTCTGCGGTTTCGCGTCTCACAGCCATCTCGGCGTTTTGTGACTCCCGACGATTTTTGGAAGTCTCCGACCGCCTCTGCCAAAGTCGTCCTCGCAGCAAACACGACTGCGAACGCTTCTCGTTTTTGAGTCTGAACGCGCGCCGCCAAACGCAACGTTCAAACAACCAACGGGGAAGAAGGAAAATAATTAAAAACCAAACACAGCCGTGTCTTCATAACAAAAAATATAATTGCGTCTCATTTCCCACGGCGATTCGGTCACATTCAAGACGTTCCGTGTTTGGACACCGCCGCAGTCCGCACAGAGAAAAGGCGCGTTCCGTGTAAAATCGCGAACATTTCATCAGATTGCAAAACACAACCCGCTGTAGAAATATTGCAGCCCTCGCAACCCTCGCCACCGGAGCAGCAGGCCGCTGTGTCCGTGGCCGACCGGGGAAAGACGACCATCTTCCTGCCATCCGGTGGCGCCTCCGCCGCTTTGCGCTCGACCGTCGCAGTCACAAAATTAAATGATACGGAGATCTTCGCTCGCCCACTCCACACACACGTTTTGAACGCGGCCAACGCTCAATTGTCTGGGGCAGGGGCAGAGGGGTGGGGGAGGGATGGGGGAGGGATGGCCACGGATGACATGAACACGCACCACGCTCGTTCGGCTATGAGCTGGGTCCGCACCCGAGCGAGCAGTTGCACGCATCTAAGTTGTTGTTGTAAGCACCGTATGTTGAACTTCTTTCGCACCGTACGTAGCAAAATCGTGGGTGGGCGACAAACTAAAACACAAAAATAGGTTGTTAAGGGATGAGTTTAGAAGAACTTCTTTTTGACTGTAGTCACGCAGAAACAACTTTCAAGCGGCTATCTGCTCCCAAAATTTGTAGCGGCGTGGCTCACCGCGTGCTCAAAATCGCGAGTTACAATCTGACCAGGAGCGGGGGGGGGAGGTGAGTCTATGCCGTCAAGTGCGAGGCCACACACCAAAGTCCTTATCGGGCTCCTGTTCGCTCAGTTGCGTGGACACAGCGGTTGCAGGAGATCTAAGTTGCGCGGTTTCCAGAGCGCTCGGGTGCGGACCGGGTTAAGGGAACGTGTTTTGTCGCTCGCCACCGGGTTTACTCGCCGACGATTTTGCAATCACGCGGCCTCCGAGCCACCGGACCCCTCCCACGAGTAGAGCAGTAGCCCGTGGATAACACGGCGTGGCGGGTCGCAAGGCGGCGTTCGCGAGCGCCGTCAATCCGCAATCCGGATCCTCCGCGAGCCGCCAGACCACCAAGGGATCGCTCTCTCCGCTGTCAGCCGACGGGGAAAACAAAACGTTTTCACAGCGGCCCGGAGACGCTGCTGGATACAGGTTGGTTCGGGAAGCTGATAGGCTGACGGACTAAACAGACACAACAACGGCCAGAGCCGGCACCAACAATCCGTGGCCCTGTTAGTCGGGATGTTTGACCAAGTCCGTGAAAACTGAGTGTTTAATTTTCGACAGACCTGGTCTTGACCTGAGGACGGCTGCTTGCGTTGTGGCCGAAACGTCGTGAGAATTATTTAATGATGTTGTATTTTTATTATTTTATTATTTCCCTTCTACTGAGTGTTTATACACGTGGCAGGAAACCGGGCGAGCCCCGGAGAAAACGCACCTGTGCATGGGCGGTATCACTCAATCCCCAGCAAAGATGGATTCGATCCTTCTTGCTGTACTGCCACTATTCGGCTGGCCCTAGGCTGGGAGGTGGCCGCCTCGATGTCGCAGGTATGGAACGGGGGGGGGGGGGGGGTGAGGGGGGTTTGGCGATCATGTGTGAAGTCCTAGATTTGAGCTTTCGTGACTGCAAGGTATCATACTCTTAGTTATTTCGGTAAAGTCACGTAGGTAGAAATTGAAATCATTTTTTACCTACGCGACTTTACCGAAAGAACTAGGAGTACGTGTGTGAAGTCCGTTCAGTCATGACCACACAAAACGCCTTTCGGGCAGCGAGAATCCCTGTGAGCTGCAGTAAAAACACAAAAAGGCCACTCGGCTTATTCGAGGCGTTCATTATTTGTCGATTTTGGCTTCTCGCCGCTCGGCGCCCTCGCAGCGAGACGGGTGAGGTTACCCTCCTCCTCCTCCCATCGTCATCTCTCTCTCTCTTCCCGAGCTCCGGTAATAACCGTGCTCAATTCGAGAAACGCATCAACTCTTACAACTTTTATAGTGCTGTTTGTTGCTGACCGCTTGACGTTTTAAAGCCTTGGGGCCTGTGCTCATCAATCGTGTAAAAAAAAGAACACAAACATAGGCTTAGTCTCGTACCATGCCAAACCCACAAACGCTCACATTCGCCTATAACGTGCCAATACCACAGACTGCCACATACACCTATAACAGCTGAGACGACTCATGCCCAGCTCATTGCAGGGTCATACAGTGACAAATAGACTGGCACAGAAGATCCCAAGAATTATAGATTCACAGAAACCCATAATCTCACACAAAGATCCTAAAACATCGAATCACAGAAGGCCCAATACACTCACAAAGACCCAGGTTCACACAGAGACCCATAGATTCGCACGTTAGATCCTGAGTCCTACATGGACTCACGCAGAGAGCCACACAGCCACATGGAGACCCACAGACTCACATGGAGACTCACAAGACTCACACAGTGAGGCCTATAAACCCACGCACATTTTCCTAAGACTCGCATGGACTCACGCAGAGAGCCACAGACTCGCACAATTGATCCTAAGACTCGCATGGACTCGCGCAGAGAGCCACAGACTCGCACAATTGATCCTAAGACTCGCATGGACTTGCGCAGAGAGCCACAGACTCACATGGAGACCACACAGACTCACACGGACACACGGGGCGGCCGTCAGGAGTGATGCTGCAGGCTCGCCAACATGTAATCGACGGCGCCCCAGTCGGTGTTGCACAGGATGCTGCCGGTGCTCTGCGACACGTCGTTATCATCGTCGCCACCTCCTCCTCCTGCTGCTGCTGCTGCTGCGTTGCGAGCTCGGCCCGCGCGCACGTTCAAGGCCTCCAGGTCCGTGTCTCGGTCCTCGGGCAATCCCGGAACCTGGAAGGAAAAAATTAACCCGTAAAAACAAAGTTTTTCACTGTAAACCCTTTATATGCGTGGCATCGGTTTTATTTTATTATTCATTTCTGTTTTTCTTGAGTAAGAGTTTCATTTTTATCACATTGGTATTTTAAATGAAATATGAATTTTTTTTTTTTCCTAAAGTGGAAAATTTTGGAAAAAAATTTTCACGAAAATAAATTGTCACGCACAACGAGTCTGTGTGCAAAATGTCAGCTCGATTGGATCACGAGAAGTGGGTTAAAAAACGACCGAAAGATTTGCACGGTCGTAAGCGCGCAAGCAAGCAAGCAAGTGAACTTAATATAAAGGATTTAAAAAGAGATAAGGATGAAGAGTCATGCACGCGCATGGCCTCTGTGCATCGCTTTCTCCCGGGGGGTCTGTCCTCGCAAGGGTTCAGTGGGCGAGAACGGCGGCGAAATGGTCTCAAATGTCCCTCCTCTTCGTCCCGGGGAGGGTTGCAAACGAGTTTGTGGAAAGGCAATGAAAGTTTGGACAAGGCCGCACGCAAAGTCCCAGGTTCACACAGAGACCCAAATATTCGCACGGTAGATCCTTATATGATCACTGTTTCATTGCTTTTATGGCTTTATTTTGGTGATTTTCGAAAAGTTTTTCGGTTTGGCCATGTTTGTTTGTTGTAGTACAGAGTTAGACTGATGGCCTTAATCTAAGTTGTCTTGTGGTTGTTGTTGTTTGACTTGCATCCCACTGGGATTTTTGCACACAGCGTTGGTGTACGGTGCGTTTTCTGCAATATTTTGCTGTCTTTTCTTGGATTTTCTGTTTGCACATAGTCACTTTAACATGTTTTCTTCTTCATGTTTTAGTTTTTTTTGTTTGTTGCTGTTGCCCCTGATTCAAGAGCCGAATGGCTCACAGGGCTATACCTGATAATTGTTTTTTTACCCTTTTATCTGGCAACAAAACTGACACCTTTTTTTACAAGGAGTCATGTTTACATAGACCACAATACCTGCAGTCATAATGCAAACAAAAAACATAACTCTGATAATGTGCACTGTCCTTGAAGTTGATTGGTCCACACCCGAGACAGCTTTCCTTAGAGCCTAGTCTCACATGGTGTTGGACCTGATGACGCCAAAAGCGTCATCAAGGACAGTGCACATTGTCAGAGTTATGTTTTCTGTTTGCATTATGACTGCAGGTATTGTAGTCTATGTAAGCATGACTCCTTGCAAAAAAAGGTGTCAGTTTTGTTGCCAGATAGAAGGGTAAAAAAACAATTATCATATTTTTACTGGCAAATGAGGTTCCAATGGCTCACAGGGCTCTACCTAATAAATACAACTTGAACTTGAACGCACGGCTCATCGCAACGGATGAGGGCAACCGACGCTCGGCTCGGCCAACGATTCGACGGCGACCGGCAACGGCCCCAAGCGGCGCTCACCCCCAGCAGGCTGCCGCCATCGTCCCTGTCGAGCAGTCTCCGCACGTCGTCCGGCACGCTCCAGTTGCTCATCGCGGAGAGCTCCGCCGAGTCTCCCACCGCCCGGCTCTCCCCGGTGGTCCGCCACCTCTCCTCAACCATCCTCGCTCCGTCCTCCCTCCTCGCTCCGTTCCGACGGGCGTCGGCGCCCGGCAGTTCTGCTCCTCTCCCGGCCCTGAGCGGCGAGTGCGCTCTCCCGCCGGAGCCCGGCCTGCGGAGGGCGGCGGTGGCGGCGGCGGCGGCGCGGTGCGGCGGAGACTGCATCGGCTGTTTCAGAGCCGGACGGAGCGGAGCTGAGAGGTAAAAGGGTGAAAACGCAAACCCGAGTGACGAGCGGGACGGGAGGATGGGTGACGAGACGGGCGGGGCGCCCCGCTCGGCGCCGACGATGGCGGAAGGTTCGGCCGAAGGCGAAGCGTGGTGCGGAGCAGCCGGCCGCCGCTGCTGCTGTTGCGAAGGTTTGGCTGAAGCAGCGAGAGCGCGGAAATTTAGGGTGTTTTTGAAAACGTGGTTGCTGGTCACAGGCACAGAACGTCAAGGAGCCAGCAATAAACAGCACTCTTAGAGTTGTAATCGCTAAGAGTGAACATGTTTCTGGAATTGAGCAAGGTTATTTTAAGAGCTTGGGGAAAAGAGAAGATGGGTGGGAGGGAATTCCACAGCGGAGCAGTGTGAGCAGAAAGAGAAGCATTGTGACCTGCAGTGTGGTGGGTGAGTGGGTGGGTGTGTGAGTTACTATGACCTGCAGTGTGGTGGGTGAGTGGGTCTGTGAGTAAGTGAGTAGGTAGGTGGGTGTGTGTGTGAGTGAGTGAGTAGGTGGGTGTGTGAGTTACTATGACCTGCAGTGTGGTGGGTGAGTGGGTGTGTGAGTTACTATGACCTGCAGTGTGGTGGGTGAGTGGGTGTGTGAGTAAGTGAGTAGGTAGGTGGGTGTGTGTGTGAGTGAGTGAGTAGGTGGGTGTGTGAGTTACTATGACCTGCAGTGTGGTGGGTGAGTGGGTGTGTGAGTGAGTTACTATGACCTGCAGTGTGGTGGGTGAGTGGGTGTGTGAGTGGGTAGGTGGGTGTGTGAGTTACTATGACCTGCAGTGAGTGAGTAGGTGGGTGTGTGAGTTACTATGACCTGCAGTGTGGTGGGTGAGTGGGTGTGTGAGTCGGTGAGTGAGAGTTGCGGTGAGTGTGCTGCTGTGCCCTGCAGTGCCGCGGTGGTTGAACACGGCGTGGTCTGTCGGCCCGGGCGCTCCGCGTACCGGCGGCAGAGCCGGCGCTGCGGCCGCGCTCCTCGGCCGAGCGGAGGGTGCGGGTGGCGCCGAGTTCTCCCCGCCGGGGAGGCCGAGCGCCGACGCTCGAGGGGCCCGTGGCCACGCGGCTGCTGAACGAGACGGCACGGGCCCTCGCCGGTGGCGGCTGCCGGGTCCGGCCGGCGCTGGCGCTGCGCGGCCTGGCGGCGGCCGGGGTTTGGCGCAGCCCGGTCGGCGCCGGCGTTCCGCGTCTCGCAACGCCGTGCGCCGAGGGCCGATCCCTGCCGGAGGAGCTGCTCCTGCTTCGGAATGCGTCGACGGCCCTGGGAAGAGATTGCGATCGATTGTTTCGCTGTTCGTCGTCACGGGCGTCATCGCTGCCCTAGACGTCATCGCTGCCCTAGACGTCATCGCTGCCCTAGACGTCATCGCTGCCCTAGACGTCATCGCTACCGTAGACGTCATCGCTGCCCTAGACGTCATCGCTGCCCTAGACGTCATCACTACCGTAGACGTCATCGCTGCCCTAGACGTCATCGCTGCCCTAGACGTCATCGCTGCCCTAGACGTCATCACTACCGTAGACGTCATCGCTGCCCTAGACGTCATCGCTGCCCTAGACGTCATCGTCATCCATCACCATGGTGGCACTGCTGAGTGAGTGAGTGAGGCGCTGTACCCGCGTGTGGGAGTGAGGCTCCGTGCACGAGCTGTAGGGGCCCCGGGCCGCCGGGAGGCAGTTGGAGCCGTCTCGGACAGGAGCTGCCCCATGAGCACACGCGCATCCTCTGCCCTGCGCTCCGCATGCTGCGCCCGGGTCAGCCTGGGTCAGCATGGTGGGGTCAACGAGGTGGGGTCAACGAGGTGGGGTCAACGAGGTGGGGTCAACGAGGTGGGGTCAACGAGGTGGGGTCAACGAGGTGGGGTCAAAACAGTGGGGTCAACGAGGTGGGGTCAACGTGATGGGGTCAAAACAGTGGGTCAACAAGGTGGGGTCAACGAGGTGGGGTCAACGAGGTGGGGTCAACGAGGTGGGGACAACACGGTGGGGTCAACGAGGTGGGGACAACACGGTGGGGTCAAAACAGTGGGGTCAACACGGTGGGGTCAACACGGTGGGGTCAACGAGGTGGGGACAACGAGGTGGGGTCAACACGGTGGGGTCAACGAGGTGGGGTCAACACGGTGGGGTCAACACGGTGGGGTCAACGAGATGGGGTCAACGAGGTGGGGTCAAAACGGTGGGGTCAAAACAGTGGGGTCAACGAGGTGGGGTCAACAGGGTGGGGTCAACGAGGTGGGGTCAACGAGGTGGGGTCAACGAGGTGGACGTGTCCCACCTGTCCCTCTCCTCCTTCTCCTTCAGCGACAGCTTCAGCGGCTTCCCGTCGGCCGCCTTTCTCCGTCGGCCGGCACCGCCGGAGATTCCGCGGGGACAGGGGTCGGGGGAGGGAGCGACGACATCAGAAGCGAGGGTTGAGATCGCGACGTCGTCCTGAGCCCCAACCATTTAGACCCTCGGCCGTGGCCCACAACGGTGGCGAATATCTGAACCGACCCCGTTCCTTCCCGCGGGTCGACTCGGCCTAAAGCGATCACCCGCTGCTGCCAGACCCGCTCACGGGTTGCGCCCTCGCGGCCTCCGTGGGTGCTACTCGCCAACAGCACTTGGCCCAACGGCAAGTGTGTGGGGGCCTTTGCGTGTGCTTACGGGCGGCTTGGAGGAGGCGGAGGTGAACGGGGCGCGCTCGCGATCGCGCAGCCCCGCGCGCTCGCGCCGGAACTCAGCCAGCTGCTGCAGCCGGCGCTGCTTCATCCACTCGCGCAGCCGGCGCCGCTCGGCCTCGTCGTCCTCCGGCGGCGAGCGCCCACCACCACGCGCGGCGCTGCACGGCACGGCACGGCGGCACCACGACACGACGGCTCGTTGACACAGCAGCACAGTGACACGCCAAGTGACACGCCAAGTGACACGCCAACGGACTGACAAGCTGAGATGCTGGTGCATCGAAACACCGACGCGCGGGCATGCTGACTAGGTGACACGCCGACACGTCAACGCCAATACAGATACGCACGCCAACACACCGTGGCCATAAAAAGCAGAGCGGTGGGGGCGGCACGCTCGCCAAAACCGTGACCTCTCACCTCTCGGCGACTATCCTCTGTGCCTGCGATGGGCTGAGCCCCATGTCGGCCGCACCGCCGTCTCTGACGATGTCGGCGATGATGTCACTCACTCCTGTGAGGCCACTCCAGCGCAACTCCTCGTCCCTGCAAACGACGAGGGCAGATGGGTGGGGGGTGGGGGGGGGGCGACAACATAGAGCAGCCGGGGTAACTGATGATCCACCACTCACCAACCCGCAGCGGCTATCAGTCGCCTCCTTGTCACTCTTCTCTTGCTACTACGGCCACGGCTACTGTTCCAGTGAAGTCCCGAACAGCGACACAACCTCGTAAGTTTTATTCATATCGGAGGAGCGTCACGGGAGTTATCGTGTCCCCCGTCTATTTAAGCTGGGTTAGAGGAAGAGGGCGCCTTGACAAAGGAATTTAATATGCAAATTCATTTGCATTTAATATGCAAATTCATTTGAATTTAATATGCTAATTCCTTTGTCAAGGCGCCCTCCTCCTCTAACCCAGCTTAAATATATGCTGCCAAGCTTGGTGGTGTTCATTCAGACGCTGTCTTTCTGACAGACGCTGTTCTTCACCTGAGGACGGCTACTTGCGTTGTGGCCGAAACGTCGTGAGAATTGTATTATTTTATTATGTTTTATTTTTATTAGTTTATTATTTCCCTTCTACGTGACTTTACCGAAATAACCATGAAGATGAATCCCTGCAGTCACGAAAGCTTTAAATCAAAACTTAGTGTGACAAAGCCTCACCGAGTGTCAAGGCTCGGTTTTCAGGGGGGTTGCTGCTACTACGTTGGGCTGTGCGGGCTCCGTGTGGGAGGAAGCCGGAGAGCCCAGGGAAAACCCAGCACGCTCGAGGGGATACATCCCAAGCGCCGCAAAGATGGTTTCGATAATCCACTGCTGTTCCGGCCACCCTCCAAGCCACCTCAACCAGGCTGATCCCTGCTAAGCACTGAGCTCTGTGACAAGATCGGCCACGCTCCACGTAATATGGTAACGAACGTTCAACGGGCTTTCACGTGGCTGTGAATTCTGCTTGTGTGTGCGTGTGTGTGTGCGTAACACACACCTGTCCGCGCCGTAAATTAGCTCTCCGTTACCTGCAAAACAAACACGGTGAGTCAGAACTCACCCGTATGAATACAATGCGAGTACAATTTTAACTTATTACACGTTTGATCGCTGCCGCAAATCGAGACGCTTCACAAAGCTTCGCGTGAAGCTCAACAAGTTCCTGCCTGTCGTTGCTGCTAGCTGCATTGGCAGCGGTGGATGAACACAAACAACAACAAACTCGACCCATTCATCCATAACACCGTGGCCTTAAAAGGAAAAAAGATACAACGGGTGACGTTTATAGTAATGGCCCTTCTCAATGCACCTGTTTGTGTATTCGTGACCGTACTCACGGTTGTATTAAAGTATTAGTTATGAGCATCGCTGGTACCGCTTTCCCTACCCGCATCGGGGAGGGTCGGTGATGGCACGTCCCTTCCCAAGACGTCCACGGATGTGCCGCTGGACGGGCAGGTGCCCGTTCTCCGCTTCATCCACGTCCAGCTCCCACTGTGACGGCGCTGCCCACCCACCCGCCTGCCCCAGCTCTGCGCAAAGAGCGGAAAGTTATGGATTATTCTAATTATTATCATATAATACTTATATATATGTGCTGTAGATGTGTCGCGTCGGAAATGCACATCGTATGCCATCAATATATGTGCACTTACCTGCAGTTGCGGGCACAAGCCCCTAGGGGGTGCCACCCTGACCTGGGGAAGGTCAGGGAGAGCTGGGCCATTGAGTAGAGGTCGCAATCGGGTACCCGATACCCGTACCCTACCCGATACCCGGCTACCCGTACCCGGCCGGGTACGGGTACCCGTTTGCCACCCTGGTGCGGCCGGGTACGGGTAGGCCGTGAGTCACTGGTGAGTCACCGTTTGTCACTCATGGCTCAATGCTCATTTGAGCAGATGACTCTGACTCTTGACTCGTATACTCCAGGCCGTGCGTATTGCCCCGGCTGACGAGAGCCTGAAGGTTTGTTAACGAGAATTTTTTTTTTAAAGTTGTAGTCAGGCACTCCTAGATGTCACCGAGTGACATCACTGCCTAGGCGTCGCATTGAAACGTAAATGGCAGCGACGCCACACCAAGGAGCCTTGAGGCATTGGCGCTCAATCCCTGGTTACAGCCGTGCAGAACCGGCGGTGGAAATTCCTCATTCATATGGCGGGGGCGAGTCTATCCAAAGGACAATCACTTTGATTTACCCTCAATTTATCGACTCTGTTGGGATGATGGGGTGAGTCAACCCACGATTTGAACCCGTTCCACCGCTGAGCCACCTGGGCGGTTATCGGCGCTGTGCGAGACCGTGCGGCGCGATCCCACCGCTACGTCGCTGCAGTCCGGTGGTGCGTGCCGGGTCGTACCTCTGTCCGTGGCGGGGCCTCGCCATGCGGCGTGGCGTCCAGACGTCACCTCGGGGTCTTTAGGCAGCACGACTCCACCCAGCTGCTCAATGGTGTCCACAAGCTGACACACACACACGCGGTGGCGGCAGCACGGACAACGCGCCACGTTAACAATCGTCGTCGTGGTGTCGTTTGTTTATCCGCGAAACCCTCAGCGAGTTTCGAGACTCATTTTCAGGGGGGGCGCTGCTATATTCAATTAGACTTTGTACCTTTAGTATAGTTAGACTTGTAAACCACTTATTTAAGATTTAAGATTCCTATATGTTGAATGTATGCACCTTCCTGCCAAAGTAAATTCCTTGTCTGTGCGAAACTTTCATGGCGAATAAAACCCTTTCTGATTCTGATTCTGATTCATTGGGATGTTCGGCCATGAATTCCATCCGTTGAGAGTTTGGCTTCGAGTAGGAGGGAGGAAGCGTGGAGCGTGGAGGGGGGGGGGGGGGTGGCCTCACCAGGTGAGCGCTGCGGAAGTCGGCCTCCACGCTGTGCGCCACGCGCTGCAACGCCGCCAGCTGTGCGTCCATGTGCCGCAGCCGGGCGGCCGCGCGGCCGTGCGCCCCCCCGAGCCCGCCGGACCCGCCGGCCCCCCGCGCTGCCGCTCCCCACGCCGTCCCCGCATCCCCGGCGCCTTCCTGTTGTTCGGCCGGCGGCGCTGGTGCCGGCGCCGGCATCGGATCGTCCTCCTGCTGCAGCAGCCGCCCGGTGAGACGGTCGCCGCGGGATGGCGAAGGCTGGCGCTCTGCGCGGCGGAGGTGAAGAAGAAGCCGGAGTGGTTCGCAAACGCTCGATTTGCGAACGGCGTCGCCCGTGCAACGCTGCGGGGCGCAACGCCGCGGGAGAGTCGTGCGCAGAATCTCGCAAGTCACCGACGAGCGCTTGGGCAGGCGGCCAGAACCGCTCCCACCCACAATTAGCCAATCGCTGTGGTCCGATAGATCTGTAAAACTACCGTGAGTTTTATAGCTCATCGGATTCCTCCACTATAAATGAATATTCTGATTCTGATGTTTTGGCCAATTCTGTTAACGAGTGTCTATACGTGCGAGAGGGAACAGGAGCACCCGGAGAAAACGTACGAGGAGGGTGACGCTACATCGCCGTACAGATGGATATTAATCCACTTTCTGTACTGTCATCATACCCTGGCAAGCCAAGAGATGGCGACCTTGACGCTTCACAGGGAAGAAGTTTCACAGATTTGCTTGATTCACCAACCCTCCCATGCAAACAGCTTCACCATCATCACCATCATCACCATCATCACCATCATCACCATCAGCCGTGGTCAATCCACTGCGGTCCAGTAATGTAACCACCCGCCCGGCACTCGCACCCGCGCTGATTTCGTGGCTCTATCTCCTCGGTGGACGTCCGCTCGGACGCGTTCCATCCCTTGGCTGCTGCTCCGTTATTGCTCCTGACCAACGGCCAACGTCCCTCCTGGCCATGACGCGTGCTGCCCCAGCCCCGCCGCTCACCAGAGGTCGCAACCGGGTACCCGATACCCGTACCCTACCCGTACCCGGCCGGATACGAGTAGCCGTTTGCGACCCTGGTGCGGCCGGGTACGGGTACGGGTAGGCCGTGAGTCACTGGTGAGTCACCGTTTGTCACTCATTTCCCAAAGTCTTGTCTCTTCTCACAATTCAAGTTCCTAGAATCAACCCACCCGCGCCTGCAACATGGCTTCATCCCAGAGGTCACAATCGGGTACCCGATACCCGTAACCTACCCGTACCCGGCCGGGTACGGGTAGGGTATGGGTACGGCCGGGTACGGGTACGGGCACCCGTTTGCGACCCTGGTGCGGCCGGGTATCGGTACGGGTAAGGAATCAAAACCCGTTTGCGACCTCTGCCGCTCACTCTGCTCAACAGTTTCAAAATGCGTCATCACCCTTGCGCACGCGCTCCGCTCGACGATCACCATCGCCGCCACCGCCGTTCGCGAAACCAAACCGCGGCCTTGACACCGGGACGCTCACCGCGGCCTGGTAGCGGCGTCGCCGCGTTGAGCACGGAGGCCGCCAGGAGGTGCAGCTCGGCGCTCGACGGCTCGGGGAGGGCGGCGGGCCGGGCCGCCTCGCCCACGGACGCCGCCCCAGCTGCCGGCAGGTCCCTGAGCTGTTCGCCGTCGATGTCCACCACGTTGATGAAGCGGCGCGCCAGCGGCACCTGGACGGGCGCGGTGACGGCGCGTGTTCACCCACTTAGTCGCATGTTGCTACCGGCATAGAGATGTTGATGGTCGATGATGATCATGGTGACCGAGACGAATATGATTGGTGATGATTATTGCAATGATGGTGATTGGTGACCGATGATGATTACGAACAGAGGTGCAGTAATCCACCTGGTAATCTGATAAATCAGTGAAATTCGATTCAGAATCATCCACAGGACCCTTGCAGACAGCAAACCAAACCTCCGCACCAATGAAAACTCACTGGGTGACTCAGCCACAAGGCACAGCTAACCATCCCACAGCGCAGGGTGTTCACTCGCTCGCTCGATCACTCACTCGCTCGCTCGTCCGCCCACTCGCTCGTCCGCCCACTCGCTCGCCCGCCCACTCCCTCGCCCGCCCGCCCGCCCACTCACTCGCTCGCCCACTCACTCGCTCGCCCGTCCACTCACTCGCTCACCCGCCCACTCACTCGCTCGCCCGCCCGCTCACTCGCTCGCCCACTCACTCGATCACTCACTCGCTCGCTAGCTCGTCCACTTACTTGCTCGGTCGCCCACTGCCGCTGAATGAATGTGGTGGGGTGGAGGTTGGAGGGGCGAGGGAGTTGCTACAGACCTGCTCGCTGGGCTGACTGTGGGGAGCCGTCGAGGCTGTGACTCCCCCCTGCCGGTCCGGGTAGCGTAGTCCAAACACGACGTCCGGGGGCAGAATGTGCCCAGCCAGCACGGGTCTGATGTCGTCTGTTCACAATGGCCACCACACATCATCGTCATTGTCATCACCATCATCGTAACGCCGCCGCATGGTGTCCGCTCACTCTCAAAGAGAGAGGAAGACTCAGGGGCACGAGGAGGAACCACAGACGAGCGGGAAAGGCAGTAGCAGCCAGGCGATGAGCCGGCGCCAAATTCTCCCTTGAGCTCTGCGGTCCTCTATATGTAAAGGTGTTATCGGCAAAATAAGGAGTGCTTACAAATAATGAGTGGTTCACGACAGTGTGCGCTGTGTGGGTATGCTCTGTACGTGGTGTGTATGTGTGTGTAGGTGTATGCTACTTGGTGTGTATGTGTATGCTACGTGGTGTATGTCGGTGTATGTGTGTGTGTATGTGTGTGTGTGTATGCTACGTACGTGGTGTGTGTGTGTAGGTGTATGCTACGTACGTGGTGTGTGTGTGTAGGTGTATGCTACGTGGTGTGTGTGTGTGTATACTACGTGGTGTGTGTATGGTACGTACATGGTGTGTGTGTGTAGGTGTATGCTACATGGTGTATGTAGGTGTATGTGTGTGTGTGTATGCTAAGAGGTGTGTGTGTGTGTGTGTGTATGCTACGTACGAGGTGTGTGTGTGTAGGTGTATGCTACATACGTGGTGTGTGTATACTACGTGGTGTGTGTGTGTGTGTGTATACTATGTGGTGTGTGTATGGTACGTACATGGTGTGTGTAGGTGTATGCTACGTGGTGTGTGTATGCTACGTGGTGTGTTTGCGTGTATGCTACGTGGTGTGTGTGTAGGTGTATTCTACGTACGTGGTGTGTGTGTGTATGCTACGTGGTGTATGTAGGTGTATGTGTGTGTAGGTGTATGCTACGTACGTGGTGTGTGTGTGTATGCTACGTGGTGTGTGTGTGTAGGTGTATGCTACGAGGTGTGTGTAGGTGTATGCTACGAGGTGTGTGTAGGTGTATGCTACGTACGTGGTGTGTGTGTGTGTATGCTACGTACGTGGTGTGTGTGTGTGTATGCTACGTACGTGGTGTGTGTGTGTATATGCTACGTACGCGGTGTGTGTGTGTGTATGCTACGTGGTGTGTGTGTGTAGGTGTATGCTACGTACGTGGTGTGTGTGTGTAGGTGTATGCTACGTGGTGTGTGTATGTGTATGCTACGTGGTGTGTGTAGGTGTAAGTGTGTGTGTATGTGTATGCTACGTGGTGTATGTAGGTGTAAGTGTGTGTGTGTGTGTATGCTACGTACGTGGTCTGTGTGTATGTGTGCTACGTACGAGGGGTGTGTGTGTATGCTACGCGGTGTGTGCGTGTAGGTGTCTGTGTGGGCACCTGTCGTGGTGGTGTTGGTGGCCGCGTGCCGCTTGCTCGTCGCGTTCTTGCCGGTGCTGGCAAACAGGTGAAGCTCGGCCGAGGAGGGGACGGCGCCTCGCAGCACTTCCTGCCGCGCCAGCATGTCCCTGAACGCACCTGCGCAGCGCACAGAGAGCACACCATCACCACGAGCCCTGGTCTGTCTACTGCTACATGATGCCCCCCCCTCACCTGCCGCACCAGCGTGTCCCTAATCGCGCGTGCGCAAAACTAAAAGACAAATATCTCCCATACAGCCTTCTACAGACTGTTAGGGCAAGTGCTGGTATTGAGCGCCTACGGAGACCGGCACGGTACACGTGGGGGTGGGTGGCCAGCGCCACGCCTGGCCGCTTTTCTCTCCCCAGTGGCGATGTTTACGCACCGCACCAGGTACTCAGTTTGAGGCTGAGTCAACCTAGGTGAGGTCCGGGACCGATTCAGATAATCGTCACTGGTGTTGGCCGTGAGCGGGAATCGAACTCAGGTCGCCGGGCTCGTAGTGCACTACCGCTCCCCACACACCACTCACGCACACCACTCACGCACACCACTCACGCACACCACACACGCACACCACACACGCACACCACTCACGCACACCACTCACGCACACCACTCACGCACACCACTCACGCACACCACACACGCACACCACTCACGCACCCCACTCACGCACACCACTCACGCGCACCACTCACTCGCACCACACACGCGCACCACTCACGCGCACCACTCACTCGCACCACTCACGCGCACCACTCACGCGCACCACTCACGCGCACCACTCACGCACACCACTCACTCACACCACTCACACACACCACTCACGCACACCACACACACCCCACCCCCAGCTAGATTTTAGAGGCAATCGCTCACGCACCTGATCTCTCCCCCCACCTTTACCTTGCACACTCTGCAGCGACAACCAATCCAATACGGACGCCGCCGTCGTCGCCGGCATTTGAGATTGACAACTCACAACCCCACGGGCTGGCGAGGCTGTGAGCGTCACCCCTACCGGCTCGTCACGCGCAGCGAACATTCAAACCCGCTGCATCGTTACATGGCGGGATCTCTCGTCTTACCGGCTCTGATCACGTATCCGTCTCCGTCCAGGTCAACTTCTGTCTGCTGCGACTCCTGCCGTTTACACAGAGGCCCAATTGGCCGTTCAGAGATTCCGATTAGAACTCGCCACACGGACACCGGCAACCGGCTCACGCTTCAATGCGCCCGGGGCATTATGAAGGGTCGCTTGCGCGCATTTGCTCAACGTTTCCTTGACGAAAAGCGTTTCCGCATTCACTTACTCGCTATTATGCTTTTTGGGGTCGCTAAAATCAGAACCAATTTGTGGCAAGGCAGCATCGTTTGACTGGCCTCTGCCATAGAAGTGTGGAATGTCCTCCACTGGTTCAGTGTCACCTGTGAAGCCCCACCACATGAAGCCAAAGTCTCGTTTACCGGATCAGCCAAACATCCCAATGTAGCAGGAACCTTCCGAAACAGAATTTTGAGACTCAGTGAGGCTTTCCTGGGTAAACAATTGTCATACTAATAAACATGATTGTGGTCTAATATGAGAATGGTTCATACACACAACAACAACAACAACAACAACCGCCATTCGCCACTAAGTGGCGGTGACGTCACCACGATGCTTGTGCCAGGCCATGTGCACATTGACAGACACACACACATACACACAGACACACGTACAGACACAAGTAAAGACACGCGTACAGACAGACACACATACATACATACAGACACACGTACAGACACACGTACAGACACACGTACAGACAGACACACGTACAGACACACGTACAGACAGACACACGTACAGACACACGTACAGACACACGTACAGACACACGTACAGACACACGTACAGACAGACACACGTACAGACAGACACACGTACAGACAGACACACGTACAGACACACGTACAGACAGACACACAGACATACATACAGACACACGTACAGACACACGTACAGACAGACACACGTACAGACAGACATACATACAGACACACGTACAGGCACACGTACAGACAGACACACGTACAGACACACGTACAGACAGACACACGTACAGACACACGTACAGACACACGTACAGATAGACACACGTACAGACACACGTACAGACACACGTACAGACACACGTACAGACAGACACACGTACAGACACACGTACAGACACACGTACAGACAGACACACGTACAGACAGACACGCAGACAAACCTCGCGCGTCCGTGGTCGTGCCTCCGTGGGGATGATGGACTCCTCGGGTCTAAAGGACACGGACGGTCTCTTGTTGGACGTATCGGGGTCCGTCTCCTCTGCCCGGCGTCTCCTCCTGCCGGACACAGCTCATTGCCATCAGGGTTTCAGTTCAGCTGGGTCTGCACACCCAGCACACCACATCCAGTATACTATCTCGCTGTGGCCCTCGCTACTAACACAGGACCCATAGACTCACAGACTACTTACATATGAGAATAGACTTATATAGGCTTATAGACTTACATATGACTATAAAGACCTATAGAAATCAATCAGACCCATGACTTAGATAGGATCCATAGACTTATCAAGAACCAAGAGACTTACATAAAACCCATAGCCTCACGTAGGATCACAAGCTTACTTAGGATTACGGCTTAATCTCAGCTGACTGTGGCTCATGCATTGGCTGTGGCTCATGCTATGGCTGTGGCTACTGGTCACCTGCCACACACCCTGGGCCCCAGAAGTTGGTGACGAGGGCAGTAAAACCATCACCCGTGCCCCCCCCCCCCATCATCTCACCTCCTCGCGTCACGCTCGTTTGGGGGGGCCGTGGAGATCAGCTGTAGCCCACTGGAGCCGAGGTTTTCTGGGGGCAGCCCCCCATTCTGGATGCCTTGTAGCTGGGAGAGCGGGATGAGGTGGGGAACGGAGCGTGGAGGAGATGGAGCGCGCGCCGGACTCTGCGCTCGTGACAGCGACAGGGGAGGAGGAGGGGCGGGATTAGGGTCAGAGGTGACGTCACAGCGGCTGAATTTAGAACGGGGTCGCAGATCGCAACTCTCTGCATCATCTCCCCGAGTGGTGCCACAAGCAAAGCGGTGCCTCTCATTCTGATGATGATGAAATGATATTCATGCTGATGTTGACAGTATTGATGGCAATAAACATCATGAATTGGCTGAAAATATTTTAAATAAAAACCCAATGCAGGACCCTCGTAAAACAGAGTCCTACCACTCAGTGCGGTTCTACTACCAGACAAAAAAGTCGTTATTATTATCATCATCATCAACTTCTCACCGCAACGGGCGGTAGCGCCGGGAGGTGCAGGAGTGGCAGGGCTGAGCGTCTGCCCGGCGGCGTTCGGCACAGCCATCGGCGGGAGCATCAAGTTCACGGTCGGGGGTGGCGGCGGCGGTGGCGGCTCGCCGTAGGCAAGGTGCGCCGTCTGGTACGACGCCGCACCTTGTTCAAAGCCCAAGAGCGGCCACGCCGCCGGCGCCACCGCCGCCGCTGCCTCCTGTCCGGACGCCACCAGGAACGCCGGTGCGGCGGGGCCGGCGCCGCCAGCGGTGGCCGCCAGACGTGGCGGGGGCAGCGACGCGGGGCCGTCGCGCGGGGCTCCCGACAGCTCGTACATGTCCAGGTTGAGGTGCGCGTGAGCTACGTTCGGCCTGCGCTGGGAGCGACGCGCCTGCTGCTCGCGGGCCTCCTGGAGCGAGCGAGGGTCGTACTGAGAGAGGTCGAGGTGCGCTGGCGGCGGCGCTGGCGGCGGCGCTGGCGGTACGACCGCGGCGTGGGGAGCGCCGGCGTGTGCTTGCGGCTGACCGTGATGATCGCTGGGAGGCCAGGCGGTGACGGGGCGGCTGGGCGGCGCAGCCCGTAGCGTGGGCACCCCTGAGTGGGCGTTGTGCGACAGAGGGCTCAGCGTTGAGTTGGTTAAACGACCGTTCCCCCCAGTTGCATCGCGGTCGTGCGAGCGGCGACGCGTCGCGAGACAGACTCGGTTCGGAAATCTTGCAGAGCATCCCACGGAAGTGAATGTCACAGAGCTAGCTCATTCAAGTAACCACTGGTCCACAACGTAGGAGCCAGCACAAAGTAAATAAATAAAGTGCATTTATTACATTACTAAATTAGCTCTTCGTCCAATTAATGTAATGGGAGAATCTAAATTCGAATTTTCAGCATTCTGCCCCTTGCTTCCGATCACGTGCACCACTCGCGTGTGCACGTGACCATTTATATGGCTATGTCGGGTGATGGAGGGTCACTCAACAAAAATTGGAAACGTAATCATTATCGTGGCTGAGCCCAAAAGACCCATTACGAAGCATGATACCGGCTTCATAGAGACCTGTGTGTTAAGAACGCACGTCGACATTATTTACCAGCGAATGCAAGCCCGGCGCCGCTTTTGATGAACGGTGGCAGCGGCGGCGGCGGCAGGAAAGTTGGCAGCGCCGACTGCGGCGGCAGCGTGAGGAGCGCCATCCCGCTCAGCGCCGGCGGCGTGGTGAGGCCGGCGGCCCCCGGCGCCACCGCGGCAATCGGTGGCAGCGAGAGCGAGGGCTGGGCGAGCCGATCTGGCAGCGCTCGCTGGCTGTCCCCGCTCAGCGTCAGCAGCGGCAGCGCCAGCTCGGACGCCGACATCGCAGCCGCAGATCGGGCGAAGTCCAGGCCGGGGGCGTCCAAATCCTCGAGCGCCAGCGGCCTGGACAGCTGGGCCGGTAGGTGCCGAGTTAACGAGGAGTGCCATGATGTCATTTCTCAATTATCAATTTTTATGATGTGATATAATACACATTTTCACGGTACCATATTATACATTATCCATTATCAAGGATATTTTCGTGTATACATTTCCATTGCACAATATAATATATATACATTTTAATCATATGATGTTAACTTTAAAGATAAGACGTGCACTCTCATGTTTCATGAAATTAATCTAGTGATATTCCTTATCATCCTGAGTTACGCGGTAAAACAAAAACTCGGCCAAGGAAGGAATCGAGCGAATCACACAGCCACCTCGATGGTGCCGTGGTCCGACAGGCACGTGGCACTGCCCGCTTGGCCACCCGGCTCCAGGGGTCCTTGTGCCGCCCTCCCTCCCAGCAGAGATCCATTACCCAGCGGCACCGCAGGCAATGCCGAGGGGCGGTCAGCTGGCAGTGGTGGTGGCGATGGTGGTGGTTGTACTGGTACTGGTGGTGGAGTTGGTGGCTGCTGCCGGTAGCTCGCGTGGGTGTGTTCACGGTGGGTCTCATCATGGTGGTTGGAATCGTGGCTGGCATGATTGTGGTGGTTGCGGTCGCGTTGAGTGTGATTGTGGTTGCCGCGATCGTGGTGGACATGACCACGGTAAGTCTGATCGTGGTGCGTACGACTGTGGTGGTAGCGGTCGTGATCAGCACGATCGTGGTGGGAGTGCGGTGGTGAGGGCGGTGGTGGCACAGAAGGTGGAGGAGGAGGGTGCCTGCTCTGGTCGGAGCTCATGAAGCCGGGCAGTGACATCGCCACTGCCTGCATCATGGATATGAAGTTGTGCTGCTGAGTCTGCCAGACAGGATGTAGGGCATCATTCAAAAACAAAAAAAAACAGGATTATCGACTAAAATGTCACCCATTGATTCCTCTTCACATGTCGAGAAATTCGGTCTACAAGACACCAATTGTTTAATCTCATCCACCACTGCGTTCAACCACCACACTGCAGGTCACAACAACACACTCACCCAATGACTCACCCACTCACTCCTCAATCACTCACGCTCCACACTGCAGGTCGCTAAACTTCTCTGCTCCACTTTGAAATTCCCACCCATCGTCTCTTTTCAAAAGCCCTCATAATAACTTTGCTCACTGCAAGAAATGCGTTAATTCTTATCGCTATGACAACTTTGACAGTAGTGTTTGTTCTGGCTGCTTGATGGTTTTTGGCCTTTGAGCCCGTGCTCGGCAACTGTGTAAAAATAAACAAGAAAAGAAAACCATATTCTTAGGTTTTTTCGGTAAAGTCACGTAGGTAAAAAATTAAAATTAATAAAAGTAAAATAAAACAAAAATCACGACGTTTCGGAGGCAACGTGCTGTGACGGTTCCACCTGAAGACGGAAGCTTGTGTTGCCTCCGAAACGTCGTGTTTTTTGTTTTATTTTTATTTTACTTTTATTAATTAACATTTTTTACCTACGTGACTTTACCGAAAAAACCTAAGAATATGAATCCTTGCAGTCACGAAAGCTTAAAATCTAGAAGAAAACTGTCGTGAAAGACGCACAATCATCCTCGGAAGCAACCGAATTGCACGTGGAACTGTCGCGTGCGGGACACGGGGCATGCCGCGGAGTCGGGCAATGCAGTGGCAGATGCAGCACGCGTGGAAACAACGGCAGGAAGAAGATGGAGAGGATGGTGGTCTACGGCTCTCCCGGGTGTTCTCGTGGCGACGGGCACGCCGTCCGACATTTCACGGCACGTGCTGGGAGCTTCTCCAGGAACTGAACTCCCAGCGTTCAGAGGAAACTCTCAGCGCGTGGAGCAAAACGCAACCAGAAAACGCGCCGTAGAGCTGCAAGCTTTGGCAAAAGACAAATCGGACTCCACGGCTCTGCCCGTTCTGTAAAGTGCAAGCACGCTCGCATAGCATCGGCATCTCACAGATATCTTCCATTTCATAAAAAACTAATCCTGTACCGGGGAGGTGGTGGGCTGGGCCTGCTCGATTTGGCAGCGCCACTCGTGAATGTTTGAGCGTCTACGGGGGACACCGCGTGACACAACTCAAAATCGCATCAGAGGGTTGCATTGTAGCACAAACCGAGAAAACCCGCGCGGGTATCAGCGGACGACGATGCTATTGACGATGACGCTGACTCCCGACGACTCCTCACCTGGGCAAAGCGCTGAACCTCCTCCATGAAGGCGACCCGCGATGACCCAGAGCCGGCGTCGGCTGCAGCGTGGGGTCCCTCCGCGTAGCTCGACCCCCCGCGCCCCCCTCTCCTCAGCTCCCCCGCAGCCCGAGCCCTCGACTCCCCGTGCAGCGACGCCATCGACTCCCCGTCGGTGGGCGCCGCTCGGAGCGAAGGATCGGTCCTGAAAAATCGTGGCGGTGATCGAGTTTCGAGCGTGTTTTGTTGAACCCGGTGCGAGCTCAGGAGGCCAGGCAGAGCATCGTTTGCGAGAGCGACCGTGCTGGGGTTTGCCCACGCAATAGTGACGGGAGCACCCACGCACGCGCTCCATCACTCGCTGACTCGCTCACTCACACGGCCACCGTCCCTCTGCGGAGACAACGCGGTATTGGAATAGGAACCAGAAGGCACAAATAACATAACAAGATGACACAAATAACACAGCCAGACAGCATAAATAACATTACATACAACACGAATAACACAACCAAGCAGTGCAAATTACATTACAATACAACACAACCAGACAGCACAAATAACATTATTACGTATAACACGAATAACACAACCACACAACACAAATAACATTACAATACAAACAGAAATAACACAACCAGATAGCACAAATAACACGAACACAAAATAACATAACAAGACAACCAAAACAACACAACCAGACAGCACAACTACATAACAAGACAACACAAATAACACAACCAAATGGCACAAATAACATCAGATGAGACAGGAGAAAGTGAACAAAATTATATAACTCACTATGCTTTCTAATATACAATCGACTACATTCAACACATGTCATTCACTATACACTAGATATTTCACAACACATTCCTTAACATATATTTTTGCTTTAGACCCCCAAAAACACAGATGACCAACATTTCCCTTACGCCTATCGTCATAACCATTGACGACGACAACGACCATCATTTTCTTTCTAAACAGTTCAACCAAACTTCTCACGGTAACTCTACCTCTCTCGTCACGCGAGCAGCGGCGGTGGCGGCGGGCGGGCGGGCGGGCGGGCAGAGTGAAGAATCCGCGAGCACCACGTCCACGTGGACGTCTCCGTGTCCCAAACACCACCGCCCCCCCCGCCCCACTCTCACCGCGATCTCTAAACACAGTTGCCTGGCAGCGGTCGCACTTGGCGTGGCCACGCGGCGTGGGTCGCACGGTTGTTTGCCTAGCGCGGTGACAGCTACACCGGAGGAAACTTTACAGCCTTGGGGCCGGGGTAGCCGGCCTTGCAACAACAGCAGCAGCATCCAAACGGACTACACTAGAGGGAGTAGCCATCCTTGCAATAGCAATAGCAGCCGCAGCAGCTGCTGCCACTGACAGCTACACCGGAATAAACTTCACAGCCTGGGGCCAAGTAGCTGGCCTTGCAACAACGGCAGCAGCATCCAACCGGACTACACTTCGTAACTAGAGGGAGTAGCCATCCTTGCAATATCAGCAGCAGCTGCTGCCACTGACAGCTACACCGGAGGAAACTTCACAGCCTGGGGCCAAGTAGCTGGCCTTGCAACAACAGCAGCAGCAACAGCTACAACTGGCAGCTATGCCAGAGTAAACTTCACAACCTTGGGCCGGGTAGCTGGCCTTGCAACAATAGCAGCAGCAATAGCTGCCACTGATCGCTACACTGGACGACACTTTGTTAACTCGTGGGAGTAGCTGGCCTTACAACAGCAACAGCTGCCACAAATTAAAAGCTGTGACGTTTACAACGTCACAGCTTCCATCAAGCGACAGCTAAATCAGTCGACACTTCATAACCAGAAGGAGTAGATGGCCTTGCAACAACAGCAGCAGCAGCAGCAACAGCTGCCACTAAGTGACAGCTACACCAGACTACACTTCATAGGCAGCAGGAGTGTAGCTGGTAGTTGGCCTTACAACAACAACAACAACCACTGCTGCCCTTCACCACTAAGTGGTGGTGATAGGGCCACAACCAGCCCAGGTTTCACCTGGGTAGTACAGGAATTGGCGTCTGTGCTTGGGTGGATGAAGAAATTGACTTGTACCGAGATCTGGTACCGGTAATTGCTGTGTCGAACTTTATCACCGGAGACTCCACAGTGCTGATAACAGACCGAGTGCTGACTGAGAAATATGCCTGTGTTTGGTCTATAGTGGAAAAGGTGGTGACCCCAGGTGGTGATGTCACCATAGCGATGGTGCCAGGTTAGGTGCACAAATCTTGCTGGCAGGTCACGGGACAGACCCAGGTGCTGTGGGTTGACTGCAGATGCACCGCATGTGCTCCCTACTATGCCAACTTGCTATGCTATGGCCGCATGGCACTCCGCTCATCGTTATGAACACACACATTCACTTACACACACACACAACACAGACAAAGATCATCTGTATAGCCTTTGACAGATTTTTGAAGCAAGTGATGTTAGCGAGCAGTGCCTATGAAGGCCGGCACGGTGGTGAGTTGCGAACACCACGCCCGGCCAACACCACGTCCAGCCGCCTTTGTCTCTCCAATGCTGATATTTACACACCGCACCAGGTACGCGTTTATGGCCGAGTCAACCTAGGGGAGGTCTAGGACCGGTTCAAATAATCGTCGCTTGGTGTTGGTGGCCGTGAGCGGGAATCGAACTCGGGCCGCCACTGTTATTGGTTTGTAAGTGAGAATCGAACTTGGGTTTCTGGACCAGTATCGAAGCGCGCAAATCACTGTGCCACCGCTCCCCACTGACTGTCGGGTGTTCACAGACACAGACGACACGGACGCCGGGAGTGGTGACCCCACCTGAATGCAGATCCCTCCTGCTGCTGCAGGAGTCCCAGCTGAAGCCCAGGGTCCTGTTGCAGGCAAAGACAACGAGCGCTCAGCTGTTAATTCCACTTTGCCGCATGCAATTTTGTCTGAAGCCGGAGAGTTTCTGGGAGGCTCAACTGGGACACAGAGCAAACTGGCCCAATCTTCCATCCCACCGTCAGTCTCTCCTCCTCCCCTCATGCCCTCCTATCACTTCCTCCCCTCATCTATTCCTCTCCTTCTTAACCCCTCCTTACATCTCCCTCCTCATCTATCCTCTCTACTCCTCTCCCCTGATCTCTAATCCTCATCTCCCCTCCCTCTCCTCTCACCTACTCCTCCCCGCCTCATCTCATCCTCTCCCCTCATCTTCGCCGCTCTCACCTCTCTTCCTCCTCCCCCCCCCCCACGCCTCTCCTCCTCGGTCTCATCCTATTCTCTCCCGTTCCTCTGCCCATCTCCCCCCTCCTTTCCCTCTCTCGCCATCGTCCCCCCTCCGCTTCCCCGCGGCCCTTCCTCTCACCTCCTCGCGCAGGAAGCTGAGGCTGGACTTGCGGCAAGGCTTGACGACGGAGGCGGTGGGCGACCACGGGGATGACGTGGGCGACTCGGCCCGGCTACCCTCGCCCGAGCTCTCGTCCCTCGACTCGTCCCGGCCGCGTCCTGCCGGGGCATCGACGCACGGAGCGACGCGACACGCATTCACAGAGTAAGCTTCAAGGCTGCGATGCTGCCTGCGACGCCCGCAGAAGCGGATGTCGCAGAGCTACGTCTGAGATCCCTACTGCTTCAAGTGATGTGTGCTCCACGCGCAGCAGAGGGCAGCACTCTCCCACTCACTTGAGAGTAATGCTTGTTGTATGACATTCAAAACCGATATTTTACACGCTTTTATTTAACTCACTCTGTCTGTCTGTTGTTGTTGTTGTCGTATCCTCAAATCTTGCAACTCAATTTTAAACCCACTTCCCAATGTGGTATCGACTGCAGACTCCAAGTTCTGCCCCGACAGTCCCCCGACATTTTCTCTTTGAATCACACAGAGACTCACAAACTCACAAAGACCCCATAGATCTACCCTAAATGGATCCTACCATCTGGCATCGGGATTCCTCTGGGTCACCGGACGCGTGGAGACGACCCCAAAGACACGGTACGCAAACGATTCAATGGGCAACTGCATTAGTTAATTGGCTCATTGATTGAATTGGCAGCTGCCCCTGGCAGAGTCACCGTGTGGTACGAGCTGCCGATCGGCGTCGTCGTCCCGCGAGTCTCGCACGTCGTCGACGTCCGAATCCGACGTCTCAAGCTCGTCGCCAGCGATGGGAGTCGCGAGGTCCTCCTCCTCCTCCTCCCCCAGCGCCGGGTGAACCGTCGCCACTTGCGTCCGAGGACCCAGCACCGGCCTGGAGGGCGCAAACGAGGGGCGGAAGGGCACGGTCGCACGCACCGCACGGCCACGACGAATGGGCCTCCGGTCCACAGAGGATGCGCCTGGCCTCGTGGGCGCCACGCCGATGATAATCGTTAATCGTGATGATGATGCGCAATTTGCAACGCGCGCAGATCGCTCACTCTCAAGAGAGGGAATGAATCAGAGGTGCGGGAATCGAGAGACGAGCGGTGAAAGCTGCCAGATACCGGTGCCAGAAATTGCCCAAGCTCTGTGGGGTCCAATACGGGGATGTTTCTCCAACACCACGGACGAGTGTTGATACGCGCGGAGTAAACCCAAGCGTGCGAGGTTGGGAAAACCTCCATCCCCATACAGATGGAATAAAGATGGCAAGCCGGGAGATGGTGACCTCGACGCCCACCGGTCGCGAGTTTCACGAGTGCGCGTGATCCAACAGCCCTCTCCGCCTGCACAGGGCCGCAACACAGCCAACGTGTTGGCAAGTCCAGTGCGGCGCACCATGAGGATACCGTGGATTTCTTACTCACCCTGCCGAGTTGTGGCGAGCGAGCCTGGAGCGCTGGGCGGTGGTGCGGGGAGGAGGGGGCGGGGTGTCGGAGGAGCCGTGGTATCCGGTGTCCGTGCTGCCCCCCTTCTCCGATGATCGCTGCGACACCTTCACCCGCGCCGACCCCACCACCGTGTCCTGTCGCACCAACATGAAACGCCTCTCTCTTTACTTGATACAGCTATTTTATTATGTTTTATTTATTTTTATTATTTTAAAATAATTATTTTATTACGTTTTATTTTTATTATTTTATTATTTCCCTTCTACGTGACTTTACCGAAAGAACCAAGAAGATGAATCCCTGCAGTCACGAAAGCTTTAAATCAAAATTTAATTTGCAGGTACTTGTCGAATTTGACAATTTGGACCCTGAAGCTGGCACACAATGTCCTACCCGTTTTGCTCGACGGCGCGTATTCCTGTTTGCTAAAACACGCGACCACAGCCGTAACCAACGACGGGCCTGTTCGGATTCCAACTGCGAACCTCCGGAGCGAGAGGCTTGCGCGCTGCCGCGTGGCCGTGACGACGGCGCGGGCGACATCGGTACCTGCTGCCCAGGGCTGGGGGCGCCCCGCTGGCCCTGCCGGCGCTCCAGCAACCACAGGCTGGTGAGGAGGGCCGCCGTGGACGTGCGAACCCTCATGACCGCGCCGTCCCCTCCTTCCCCGGTCGCTCTTTTGGCGCGGTGTCCCGGCGTGGGCCGGCGCCGATCAGCCCAGCGCACCATCCACTCCAGCAGCTTCCCCTCCGCGCTGGCCATCCTCTCCCTCACCTGCGGTGGGTGGGCGAGGCAACGAGGTGAGGCTCATGCCACGCACGACCCGCTTACTGGGGGCATCTTGGGGGAGCAGAACGAGGTCATCTCGCCCAGCGCTCTCGCCGATGTACCGTGCGCCTTGCTGTCCGATGACCGATCCAGCACCTGTTCTCTCTTTCGCGTGCACTGCTTACCGTGGGCACATTCAGGAGCTGGAAGAGTCTAGCCGAATGTTCGACCGAGCCGATATCTGTGCCGCGCAGCCTCATCAGGGCCTGCGGCCATCCTGCCACCAACGCCCCCAATATTATTGCTCATCGAGCGCTTACGAGCAGGGGAACCTTCCGAACCTGTTCTCCGCGTTGCATTCTCCTCTAAACGGACATGGGCATCGCTCGGCACGAGCGCTCACCTCCTGCGATCCGGCCGCTCCTTCACGGGACTTTCCCGCTGCGTGGGCGCCACCGGTCAGCCGAGGGTGGCGTCCCCAAGCGCCAGCGCTGCTCAACTCGAGCCACGATCCCTCCGACTCGTCCGCCGGGAGTCGTCCTACATCCGCCTGCGCCTGCCGCCGCGCCCAGAAGAGCCCACCGCTCGGAGCCTCCCGCACCGTCTCACCGGCGAGCGGCGCCGGTTTACTCCTCGCGCCCTCGAAGAGCTTCGAGGGCGGGGGGCCGAAGGGGCCGACTCTCGCGAACGGTGCCTCCGGGCCGATCCCCGTCGCGCCGGCTGCCCTCGGTACGGGACGTTCTTTAACCGCGTCCGCGCTCCGGCTCACGCGAGACCGGTTCCCGCTCGTGCCGCTCTCCGGACGGAGCTCCGCGTAGAGGCCGGCGAGCGCCGGGTAGAGCGTGCCGGCTTCAAACGGAGGCTTCTCGTCGGGTGCGGCGGTGGCGCCGCCGGTCCCCGCGATCGCCCGGCCGCGCTTGCGCTCACGCGCCGCCGGGAGGCTGTTAGTTCGCGCCAGCGGCCGGTGGGCGCCGCCTTGCCGCTCCACCCAGCGCTTCAGCATTGCCTGCGCCTCAAACGCCAGCGACGTGAGCTCGCGTCGCCGCAGCAGCTCGGTGAACGGCGCCAGCAGCGGCACCGAGTCGGCTGCCCCGTCGTCTTGCCCGGCGCCGCCCGCCAAGTCACGCTCGAGCACGTAGCCCAGGAAGAGGTCGAGGAAGTCCAGGTACTCGTCGTCCTCCAGCTCGAACTCCCAGCTCCCGACAGGCGGCAGCGACGCCGATGCCGCCGCCGCCGCTCCCTCTGTGCCAGTGCCGTGCGCCAGATCGGTGCCGGCGTTTCCGGCTGCAACGCGGCTCCCGGGATCGGACCACTCATCGCGGAACGGCGATTTGCTGTCACCACCGCTCGCCCGTCTCCTCCTCGCCGCGGCGCCCACCCGCCCGTCGAGCGACAATCCCTTCCTCACCGGCGTCTTCCCCGACGACTCCGCCGCGGCCACCGGCGTCGTCGCCCCGGCCGACGAGGGCGACGACGACGCCGGCGCCTTGCTCCCCGACAAACCCCCGCCCGGCACGGCGCCGTGCCGCACCAGCGAATCGGAGAAGCACCGAACCGCCGGCCGCTTTCTGCTCGCGCCTGGATCCGGGGCCCCCAGCACCGCCGCCGCCGCCGCCGGCTCGTCCGCGTTGCCGGCGCTCTCCGAGTCGGCCGAACCGGAGCGCAGCAGCGGACGAAACCTGGCGGCGGACACGGAGGCGTCGTCGTCGTCGTCCCCGTGGTCGTCATTGGCGGCGGGCTCCCAGATGTGGGCGAGCACGGGGCCCGTGGTGCGTGCGACGCGCGCCAGGAAGCGGTCGCGGCGTTCCTGCTGCTCGTCCAGACACAGAGACACGCTCTGCTGCTCCGACGACCCCTCCCCTGCGTCTGCACAATGGTGACAAGAACCATCATCGTCATCGTCGTCATCGTCATCACAATACTTCACAATACGTAACGATGATAATAATAATGATGATGATGATGACGATGATGCACAAAGCAGCTTGGACAGATGTGCGGAGTGTGTGCCATGAGTGTGGTGTGTGTGTACTCTGTATGCAGTGTAGCGTAGATGTGGTGTGTGTGGTGTGTGGTGAGTGTATGTGTTTAGCCTGGCACAAGCACCCTGGTGACGTCAATGCCCCTTAGTGGCGAATGGTGGTTGTTGTTGTTGTGTATGTGTTGCAGAGGTCGCAAACGGGTTTTAATTCCTTACCCGTACCCGTACCCGGCTGCACCAGGGTCGCAAATGGATACCCTACCCGTACCCGGCCGGGTACGGGTAAGGTACGGGTATCGGGTACCTGAGTGCGACCTCTGGGATGAAGCCATGTTGCAGGCGCGGGTGGGTTGATTCTAGGAACTTGAATTGTGAGAAGAGTCAAGACGTTGGGAGTGACAAACGGTTACTCACCAGTGACTCACGGCCTACCCGTACCCGTACCCGGCCGCACCAGGGTCGCAAACGGCTACCCGTACCCGTACCCGTCCGGGTACGGGTAGCCGGGTATCGGGTAGGGTACGGGTATCGGGTACCCGATTGCGACCTCTGATGTGTTGTCTGTAGTTTGTGTGGTGGGTGTGGTGTGTGTGGTGCGTGGGAGCCCAAGCTGCTGTGCTCGTGGTGGTGGTGGTGGTGTGGCCACCAGCAGGAGCTGCACGCCCCGTACCCTGCACGTAGACAAAGCGCAGGCGCTTGAGCAGCGAGCGGTGTTTGTCCTGCAGCGGCACGCGCACCCCCTCCGCGTCCGGGAACGCCTGCGCCAGAATCTCCACCATCTGGCGCCATCACAGCGGTAGCGGCAACAAGAAGCGCGAGCACTACAGTTGAACAGCACCGTAGACAAATGCGCTGGCAAGTGTCCTGCCTCTCCGTCACAGCTCCTCGCGTCCAACCGCTCCCCTCTCACCCTTCCCCTTGCCCGCCACCCCTCCCCTCCCTGGCACCACCCCCCACCACCCCCCCCCCCCCGGCCCACCCCCCTCCGTGCCGGACCTGTCGTGTGGGGGGCAGCTCTGCGACGAGGCTGAGCACGAGGTCCTGCAGCATCTCCTCGGCGTGCAGGAAGCGTGCGAAGGGCAGCAGGCGGCAGGCCCACGCCAACACCGCCTCGCACTGCGCCGTCACCGCGCCGTCGAACGCGAACACCGAGCCGCGCTGTTGCTGAGCGAGCGGCAACAACGGCGAGAGCTCAGATGGCGCTGCCCGCGCTCGCAACCCCCCCCCCCCGATGTCGACAATTCGTCAAACTAATCGCCGTGCGGGAATTCAGGAATTCACGTGCGTCTTTACAGAACTCGCGGCGGCTCAGCTGAGATTGCTGGGGCATTCATGGGAGGAGTTATCACACCATATGGACGTTATCGTGATTTCACTGTTCCGTCCCGACTCTTTTCATTTTGTAATAACGTGATGTTACACGCCGTGCTGTAACGGTCAGCACGCTGGCAATCCAGAGGTCGCCGGTTCGATTCCACCTCCCGACGTGGCGACAGTTTAGGCAATGGGGGCGAGTTTCTCAAATGCCCCCTGATGCCTCTTGTCCACCCAGCAGTAGAAATGGGTTCGGCACCACAGTAAGCTGACGTGTGGTGGGAAAATAATGTGGGTAAGCCCACCTCCTCCAAGACGTCTGGCCGTCGTGGAAGAGTAGACCAAGTACCGCACAGAGAGCAGCTGTCTAAGGCTCCGGTCTCATGGAGGCCCTTTCCGCCAGTAGTGGCGCGAGCGGGCAATGGACACGACACGACCTCTCCGACTACAGAACGAACGGTCGACAGGATGGTCAGTCCCGCGAGCCTCTCTCCCCACGCCTCGATGGCGCCGTGCGGCTGGTGGTGCTGAGTGGGAGGAGGTCACCGGCCCGCGTGGTGGTGGTGGTGGTGGTGGTGCTGGTGGTGCTACCTGCACGCTGTGCAGGCTGTCGTGCGCCGCCTGGTACTTGCGGCAGCACTCGGAGAGGCGGTCGCGCATGTGCAGCAGGAAGCAGAGGGCACAGAGCTCACGGAAGCAACCTGGGTCATGTGACGCACGCACGCACACAGGGCCGGGGATACGGAGGGGATCACGGCTCAGGTGAAAGCAGAGGTCGCAAACGGGTTTTGATTCCTTACCCGTACCCATACCCGGCCGCACCCAGGGTCACAACCGGGTACCGGTACCCGTACCCTACCCGTACCCGGCCGGGTATTGGGTAGGGTACGGGTATCGGGTACCCAATTGCGACCTCTAGGATGAAGCCATGTTGCAGGCGCGGGTCGGTTGATTCTAGGAACTTGAATTGTGAGAAGAGACAAGACGTTGGGAAATGAGTGACAAACGGTGACTCACCAGTGACTCACGGCCTACCCGGCTACCCGTACCCGTCCACACCAGGGTCGCAAACAGGTACCCGTACCCAGCCGGGTACGGGTAGCCGGGTATCGGGTAGGGTACGGATATCGGGTACCCGATTGCGACCTCTGGGTGAAAGTCAACGTCCAAGTGATTCCCTGCTCAAATGAGCATTGAGGCATGAGCGTTCATCTTCTGTTCACAGCCCTGCAGAGCCAGTGGTGGAAATTCTACATTCCTATGGCGGGACAGATCCATCCGTAGGCCAGCAACTTTTGACTTCCCCACAACATGGCACTCGTTTCATCGATCCCCAGCCAGGATCTGAACTCGGAACCTTCCGATTGTGAGCCGCTCACTCTACCACTGAGCCACATGGCCAGGTTAAAGTCCAACATTCCATTAAAAAAATTAATAAGCTTTTACAGATTTTGCAAATTCACACGACTGTGATGCAGTTGGTATTGCTCCAATTTCTATTTTCTCCGTTGTTGCGCTTGTTTTCATGTTACTGCTTTTCATCCTTATCTCTAGAGTTCTCGCCTGGTTAAACAAATGAACTTGACTTGACGATGCCACTATAATACATCCTTACACGCACCACAGGAGAAAGAAAACTGCGGATCTATTTGCGAATCGAATCGTGATTCTAAGAATCGATCGAATTCTAGATTTGAAGCTTTCGTGACTGCAAGGATTCATATTCTTAGGTTTTTTCGGTAAAGTCACGTAGGTAAAAAATTAAAATTAAAGTAAAATAAAAATAAAAATCACGACGTTTCGGAAGCAACACAAGCTTCCGTCTTCAGGTGGAACCGTCACAGCACGACAGCTGTACCACTTGTGTTGCCTCCGAAACGTCGTGATTTTTATTTTATTTTTATTCTACTTTTATTAATTTTAATTTTTTATCTACGTGACTTTACCGGAAAAACCTAAGAATATGAATCGATCGAATCACATCGAGAGGAGGAACCGTTAAGAGCAACACGCAGTGTCGCAAAAATCGTGACCCCAAAATCGTGTCCCCAAAACCACGATCCCGACCCTTGACCCCCGACGAATCAAATAGTCGGTGACTGCGAGAACCGTTACCAAGAACGCGCGCCGTCGTGCCTTGCCCCTCGGCCCCGGCTCGCTCGAGCGCGACTCCCCGCATCCTCGTGTACGCCAGCAGGGAGGGGGGCAGCGGCTTGGGGGGCGGCCGCCCCTCCTTGGCACGGATCTATCAGGGGAGAACGCACGGCAATAGACGAGACGATGACGACGATGGCGACCATGACGACGATGACGACCATGACGACCATGACGACGATGACGACGATGAAGATGATGACGACGACCATGACGACGATAACGATGATGAAGACGATGACGACGATGACGACGATGAAGACGATGACGACGATGGCAATGATGACGACCATGACGACGACGATGACGACGATGACGACGATGACGACGATGACGACGACGACAATGACGCCGCTACTGCTGATGTTAAAGACGATGACGACAACGCTGTTACTGCTGCTGCTGCCGGTGCAGGCACAGCAATCACAGAGCACCGCACCGTGTCCACATCGCACCGCTCGCTCTCTCGCTCGCGCTCATACACCGCAAACTGTCCGCACCACACCACCCTCTCCCGGGCACCGCACCCCACCCACACCGCAGCACACACACACTCTCTCCCTCTCTCTCAGGCGGCAGCGGACCTTGCCCACGGTGCGCCGCACTCTCTGCAGGCGGCGGATGTACCACTGCGCGGCGGGGAGGGAGCAGCGCGACGCGCGCAGCAGCGCCAGCGCCCGCTGCAGCGCGCTCGACGCGCCGTGCCGGGAGCGCTTCTCCTGCGCCAGCGCCGCGTCGTCACCCTCCTGCGCACCACCGCACCGCACGTTAGCCCCCGTCAGAGGTCGCGAACGGGTTTTGATTCCTTACCCGTACCCTACCCGAAATGAGTGACAAACGGTTACTCACGAGTGCCTCACGGCCTACCCGTACCCGGCCGCACCAGGGTCGCAAACGGCTACCCGTACCCGGCTGGGTACGGGTAGCTGGGTATCGGGTAGGGTACGGGTATCGGGTACCCGGTTGCGACCTCTGGCCCCCGTGTGACCGTGACCCCCGGGGTCGGAACGCTGGACATCATTTCAACAATTGCTTTTTTTTTACTCTCCACTTCCAGAAAAATAAATACCGAGTAGCAATAGTTTGGAGATTTATACGGCCCCGTTAAACAATGGATCTCAGAGCAGCATGCTTACAAAGGAGGAAGGGATGAGTGAGAAGTAGCCGGAGATAGACCGAGGTGAAACGACACAGAACTGGAGAGAGAGAGGAGCCGCTGCGTTAAACAGCCAGTGGGGTCTTCAGCCGGGACTCAGAACTCTCTATCGACCGTGTCAGTTCCCGACCTCCAAGAGCAGCGAACTCCGGAGCCTGCGTGCCGTGTGGATCACAGCCCAGAGGTCATCTCAGGGTCGGAGCCCGGAGCACGGTGACGCTTAGTAGGACGCGATCGGTGTATCTCACGAGTTTTCAGTGGAGCGTGTGGCCGGATAGTGGAATGTGCGGCTGAATCAATATACGGTGGGGTGGACAATAACGGTCGCCATGCTCGTCAATAACACTGTGGGATTAAAAGGAAAAAAAAAATAACAGGCGTAAAATACAATAATAAACAAAACTAATATTAACAAAATAATGAATAGATTCAATAATAGATAGATAAAATAATAAATAAATAAAATAGCAGATAAATATAATGATAAATAAATAAATAGACTGGATAATAAAGAAATAACATTATACAATATAATAAATAAATAGAATGGTAAAATAACAAATAAAACACTAAATAAATAAAATTATAAATAAATAGCCGATATTTGATAGATAGGTAAAATAATAAAAATAATACGAACAATGTGGAATAATAAATAAATACAACAGCAAATAACAGGCGTCGTTTTGAGCAACGGCCCTTTTGCGCGGATGCCGACCATCTGCTCTCCGTTGCCGTGTGCACCCACTGCCAACGCGGCCCCGGCCCCAGCGCAAGCACCTGCAGCTCCACGCCGAGCTGCGGGCAGTACAGCGGCGGCGCCGGCAGGTAGAGGCCCGGCGGCACCAGCCCGGCAAGGCAGCCGCCCCCGGCGCGCTCCCGGGCCGCCCCCACGGCGCCGGCGAGCGCGGGGCCCAGCGCGTCCACCCCGGCCATGGCGGCCGCGTGCAGCATCTCGCGCAGCGCGGCGAGCAGGGCGTCCGGGGCATCGTCCTCTCCCTCCTCGTCGGCGGCGGCGGCGGAGTCTGCGAGCGGTAGGTGTGTGAAGGTTCACCGCGCCCCCCGCAACCGCCAGTGGCACATGTACAGTGATATCTACCATTACGTGTACCGTCACATGTACAAAGACATCTACCATTCCGTGTACCATCACATGTACAGAGACACCTACCAATACCCGTACCGTCACACGTACCGTCACATGTACAGAGACACCTACCAACACCCGTACCGTCACACGTACTGTCACATGTACAGAGACATCTACCAATACCTATAGAGTCACATGTACCGCTCACATGTGTGGGTTTTCTCCAGGTGGTCTGGTTTCCTCCCACGTGAACTCATTAATTGACCGATTCCAACTTAATGTATAGAGGACCCCGGAACCGTGGCAAGTGTCGGCACTGACTCATTGTGTGGCTGCTACTGCCTTCCTGCTCGACATCATCACCGGGGGAGTGGTGGCGCAGACTTTTCCATTTCGACCACCAGCCCCGCGGACAGAAACCACCACCGCCGCCGCCGATGCGGTGCTTACCGGACGCGGTGCCGGCTGTTACATCGGCCGCCCGAGCTCCGTCCGGGTCCATCTGCGGCGCCGTTAAAGGCGTCTGCAGCAGCGCCTGCAGCTTCTCCTGCAAGATCCTTGCGGGTCGGAGCTCGTCGGGGAGTTGCAGCGACACCCGCGGTGGCCTAGGAGATCAAATGGACGACAAGGGGCCTCACTGCAAAGGCCATCTCCACAATGTTGTTTGGATCATCTTTACGACTTGTGACAGACACGGACGGACGGGTGGGCAGAGTTAATGCATTAATGATTTCAGCATTAGTTGGAAAGCATTAAAAAATCCGTCACTATTCATCGAACCGAGTTTCGGGTTTCAAGTTGATTCTGTCTCATTTGCAAGAGTGAGTGACCTGGGTCACACTCTTAGGTTTTTTTCGGTAAAGTCACGTAGGTAAATAAATAAATAAAAGTAAAATAAAAAATCACGACGTTTCGGAGGCAACACAAGCTTCAGGTGGAACCGTCACAGCACGATTGCTGTATCAAGTAATCAAGTGACCTGGGTCACCACAATGCCAACAGCCAAACGAACCAAAAAAAATCGAACGCACGAGGAGAGACTCGTGCGTTAAGATTAGCAACCCGAACTCAACTCACCCCGCGGGATCGGCGCCAGCTAGACTGCGGTTGTGGCGGCGCCGGTGGAGGTGGCGGTTTTGGTGGTGGTGGTCGTGCGAGCGGTACGCCAGGCCGACGGCCACCGCCGTCTTCCAGTCGCCGAGCGTGCGCGCGAGCCACACGGCCTCCGCGTGGAGCCCCGCCACGAGCAGCAGCTCCAGCGCGTACTCGGGGCTCCAGGCCGACGACACGCGCTGGGCCCGGGCGCTCGCGCTCACGCCGGCGCGGCTCACCGGCAGCAAGCGCCACCGCTGGGGCGGAGCTGCCGACGGTACAAGCGACCATCAGCAGCAGCAGCAGCAGCATGAGCAGCAGAATCACCAGTAGCAGCATCAGCACACGCACTCTCGCACCGGAATGACTCGCATTCTTATCATCATCATGGTTATCATCGTCTCACCATCATCAATCATCAAAATCACTGACATTTTCAGCATCTGCAGCGTCACCACTCCGCTCGGTACCCACTGCGCTAAGTACATTACGCACGATTGCTCCGAATTGTGAAGAGCGACGGACAGGGTGTTTGCCGCAGGCCCGTACCTGCCGTCGTGTGCAGCGGCGGCAGCGTCTGCACGCTGTGCGGTGGGAACACGTAGAGTGCACGGTTGGTGAAGTATGCCGCCATGAACCGGCCCATGGAGCGAACCACAGCCAGCGCCGCCCGCTCACAAATCCCCGGCGCTGCGGGCGAAGCGAGCGGCACGAGGCGGCGGTTAGCGACGCGGACCACAGCGCCTTCACCGTGCTAACAGCACTCACCACAACAGGCTCTCAAAGCTACACAGGAGATCTTCATCTTTGTATGTGTCTCGGATGTGTCTCGGATGTGTGCGAGTCACCTGTGTCGGTGTGCGGTTGCAGGAGGCGTGCGGCCATGCGGTCGCACAGGCAGAGTGCGGGGAGCAGGTGGAGCGCGTGCAGGTGAGCGTAAAGCAGCGCCAGGCAGTGCCGCGTCTGTAGGTGAGCGCCACGCCTCCCCCCTGCCGCAAAACCATCGCCACCGTTTACACCGCAATGCCACTCGCCGTGATGCAGAGGTCGCAATCAGGTACCCGGCTACCCGTACCCGGCCGGGTTTCGGGTACCCGTTTGCGACCCTGGTGCGGCCGGGTACGGGTACGGGTAGGCCGTGAGTCACTGGTGAGTCACCGTTTGTCACTCATTTCCCAACGTCTTGTCTCTTCTCACAATTCAAGTTCCTAGAATCAACCCACCCGCGCCTGCAACAAGGCTTCATCCCAGAGGTCGCAATCGGGTACCCGATACCCGTACCCTACCCGATACCCGGCTGGGTACGGGTAGCCGGGTATCAGGTAGGGTATGGTTACGGGTACCCATTTGCGACCCTGGTGCGGCCGGGTACGGGTACGGGTAAGGAATCAAAACCCGTTTGCGACCTCTGCCGTGATGCGACTCGCCGTGGCGGTGACAGTTTGGTGCACATCAGCCGTCACCGATCCCGCACAAGGGTGCTCACGATCGCCAAGCCGCAGGCCAGACGGCCGCGGCTCCAGTTCCGTACCTGAGTCGGTGTCTTCCAGCACCGCCCTCCGCCAGGTGTGCACTGCCTCGTGGTATGAGCCGCTCAGGTAAAGTTCCTCTCCTGCGCGACAAACACACAGATGCCCCCAAGAGCTAACACAGGCAACTCACACACAGGTGGCGCACACACACACCGACACGGCTAACACAGACATGCTGGGTTTCATTGCGAAGTGCACTCGCCACAACAATACCGCTCCCGGCTGGGTAACACACAAGTAGTCAACCATGCTAATCGGAGGTGCAGGGGAAGGACAACAAACTAAACACAAAAAGCAGTTCTCAAGAAATGAGATTTCAATCGAGATTAAAAAACTATCAAGCTGGTGGAGGTGGTACAAGTAATGGTAGTAATAGTGATCATGCTGCTGATGATGATGGTGGTGGGTTTAGTGGTGGAAATTGCTGCGAATTATATTGATACCTATTATAACGGGCATGGTGGTAGCGATGCCACTGCTGACAATGATGGCAGTGGTGATGGTGCTGCTACCGATGAGCAAGATGGTGGAAAGCTGTGATCAAGCTGTGCTATCGGTGGTGCCGATGATCATGATAACGACGATGCCATCGCTGCTTTCGATGTCATCGCCGGCCCGGCACAGTAAACGCACCGGTGATATCAAGCAACGGTCTCTGCCGTGGAAAGCTCCCGTCCACGCACTGCAGGCGCGCCTGCACCGCCGCAGCGATACGCGAGGCCACCAGCCGCTCCTGGGCGGCCCCGTCGTCACAGTCATCAGCACCGTGCCGCCGCTGCAGCTGCAGCTGCTGCTGGAACTGCAAAACGTGTCTGTACAGCAGCCTCCAGCAGGCGACGAGCCTGGACGCGCACAGAGAGCGAGAGGCGCGGACACCCGCGATGAATCCGGCGGGAAAGTACTGTCAGGAACACGTCATTGCAGAGGGTACCCGAGAATTTTAAACCGGCTCCTGTCGCACTTGCAAACGAGATGTTAATACCTCTCTGAAGGGATTTTCCGCGTCAAATATTTTAATACAAACATTTACACCCTGAGCCTGCCCTGTATCGGTGGTTTTCTTACAGGCAGCCCTGGGAAGTCAGAATTAAAATCGGGAAATTCATGCGGTCGTGAGATATATTCTTCAACTTACTGGTGAGCTGAAATGATAAGCATGAATAATTATTAAGAATAATTGCCGTGTCCGATGCTGGTAGATGTGACAATTTAATTCGTTTGGCTGTCAGGTGGTGGATGATTTGAACGACAAAAATCTGTCAAGATCACATATGTGGCCTAACCAAGGAATCTATTACGAATCATAATGATGGCCGCAGAAAAGCCAACGTGTTCAGTGCAAATTGTTTAACCATGCAAGAACTGGGTGGGTAAAGGAAGTGTGGAAGAGTAAAAGGTGGGGAGGACTGATCCGAACATCACTCTCCGCCACTGATATTAGCCGTGGCCAGGGCTGGAATTCAAGGCACGGGATTCATAGGGCAGTGGCTCAGCCACTGCGTCACAGCAACCGCCCCTGTCTAGAGTTGTTTATTTCCCGTGAATATTATTTCTATTTTTCCTTATGTGGTCAAAGACTCGATTGAAACAACTTCAGAAGCACTAGAAGACACACAGACACAGAGACACGCAGCCACGGAGACACACAAATAGAGACACGCAGACATAGAGACATGCAGCCACGGAGACACGCAGACACAGAGACACGCAGTCACAGAGACACACAAATAGAGACACGCAGACACAGAGACACGCAGACACAGAGACACAGAGACACGCAGACACAGAGACACGCAGACACAGAGACACACAAATAGAGAGACGCAGACACAGAGACACACAGACACAGAGACACAGAGACACGCAGACACGGAGAGACGCAGCCACGGAGACACGGAGACACGCAGCCACGGAGACACGGAGACACACAGATAGAGACACGCGGAAATACAGCCGCCACGTCGCTCGGCCATTGCTAACCGGATCTTCCCGCTACGCACCTGTGTGCCGGCCGGCTACTCTCTCTGCCGGCGCTGCGTGCGGGGAGGTGCAGGACGGACCTGAGCCACTCCGGCCCCGCCACCGCGACCCGCCCGGATAGAGTCGGCGCCACCCGCCGGTCTGCCGCTGCCGGTGCATGGCACAAGGCGTAGAGCTCCACACCAGTGCCAAGCCCCTCTCGTACGGAATCTGCCATCGCTTCTTCCATCGCCACCTCTGCCGGCGCCTCATCGTCGTCCACGCCGGGAGGCTCTACCGGCGACGCAAGGCACGGTTCGGGGAGCGGCGGTTGGACCGGCGGATCTGGCGCCGGTGCCGGCACCAGCCCGCACGCGCGGTCGAGCCACGCCTCAGCGAAGGACAGCAAGGAAAGAGCGGCGAGCAGCGAGCGCAGGTGCGCGCGAGTGTCGCCGGTGTCAGCGCGCCCGCTCAGCAGCGCCGCCGCCACCTCCAGGCTCAGCCGAGCGCCGTACGGAAGGGACCGGCGGTGCCGGCGCCGGCGGTGACCGCAGTGGAGGGGTAGGGGGAGGGGCTCGCCGGGCCAGCAGAGCACCAGTGCGCAGCGCCGGAAGAGCTGCAGCACCGCGAAGGGCCAGGGGTCGCGGCGCACGGAGCGTGACGCGGCTTTGCCGGCGGGGCCGGCGCTGCCGCGGGGCCGATCGGAGAACTGCAGCAGCACCGACAGGCGGGCCACGCACTTTACGGTGAAGGTCATCCAGGTGTCCCAGAAGTCGACATCCCTGGACAGCGCGGTGCAGAGACAAAGACATGCGGGAGATTTTGTTGACGTGTATGTTTAATAAAAAAAGATAGATATAATTTTGATTATTTACAGGGATCTGTATATCAGACAGGAGCTGACTTAATCGCCACGCCGGTGAGTGCGGCCTGACCAATTGAAGCGCAGTACGCTAACCGCGGCGCTACCGTACACACCCACACGTCCACACTTCATCGATCAAGTGAGAGTGTCACCAACGTGTCTGCTAATCGCAAACTGCCCGGAGAAAGCGCCCCCCCTCACCTGAGAGTGAGCAGCAGGTGCCACGCGACGAGCAGCCGGCGCTGAGCGAACGAGAGCCGGGCCGAGAGATCCGCGCCGCCCGCGATGGCGCCGCCCGCCGCCGTCAGCTCCGTCTCCCCCTCGGCGGTCCGGGATTCCTCGTGCATCCCCGCAAACTCCACGCGGCCGTGCTCCATGCGCACGTACGGGTGGGGGTCGGGGCCCCCCCCTCCACCCGCAATCCCCCGCCCCCCCTTCCTCTTCGTCCGAAAGGTCGTCGTAGAGGTCGTCGCCCTAGCGACCGCGGACAGTGTTAATAGGAGAGCCGGGGAGACGTTTATCGAGGCGCGAAAACTTGTGGATCGTCATCGGCTACTTCCTTTGTGATCCACTAAATAATCGAGCCCCTTGAGAAACAGCGGTTGCCCCTGCATCCTGCCTCCTGAAGGTGGGAAACCCCCTAGAAACGCCCTCGAAGCCCATCATCCCTCCAGGATCGACCATATCGGTACCACTTTGTGGGGAAATCAACAGTGGTTGTCCTATGGATATGCTTGTCCCCGCCATATGAATGTGTAATTTCCACTGCTGGCTCAGGGCTGTATCCGGGAGATGAGCACCAATGCCTCAGTGCCCGTTTGAGCAGCAGGAAATCGCTTTGGCTTTGTACTTAACAATAACCAATTATCATAATCATTATTATTTAGAGGCACGATCGATTCAAAACGGAGAGGGCGCTGAGCTAGCGAAGCGGGTCGTAGTTTGGTGGCGGGGAGGGGGGGGGGGGCCGCTCACCTGCAGAGCTCGGTGGCCCCCACAGGACCACTCGTCGGGGTCTTGCTGCAGAAAGGGGGGCGGCGGTAGCGGCGGTGGCGCCGCCGTGGCGTCCACCGTCACCGTCTCACCGGGGGGCGGCGCGCCCAGCACCGACAGGCTCCGTAGCAGCACCGCCTCGCCAGGAAGCTGTCGGAGGCATCGTCGTCACCGTTAGCCACGCTCCATCCGCTGCCGGGTGAAAGCCTGCTCAAGAGTGGGTGCGTCGATCTGGTGAGTGCGTCTATCTGCGGCGAGCCTGGTGAATGTCACTGCAGTGTGCCCGGTGAGGGTGCCGCACCCGCGATGCCGCCAAGCCGATGCGGACGTCCTCTAGCGTGCGGTGGACGTCCTCCAGCGCAGCCTGCACCAGCCTCGCCGGCGCCAGCTCACCGCCCAAACGCATCACCGTCACCACGTACCCTACGACACACCACGCAGCTCACCGCTCAGCGCCCAAACGCATCCCGTCACCACGTACCCTGCGACACACCACGCAGCTCACCGCTCAGCGCACAAACGCATCCCGTCACCACGTACCCTGCGACACACCACACAGCTCACCGCTCAGCGCACAAACGCATCCCGTCACCACGTACCCTGCGACACACCACACGGCTCACCGCTCAGCGCCCAAACAGATCGTCGTCACCACGTACCCTGCGACACACCACGCGGCTCACCGCTCAGCGCACAAACGCATCCCGTCACCACGTACCCTGGGGCACACCACACAGCTAACCGCTCAGCGCCCAAACGCATGGCCGTCACCACGTACCCCGAGATGAGTGGGGCGAGGCGGGAGAGTGCGTGCAGGAGAGGTAGAGAGAGACGGCGCCCGTACCATCGGAGGCGAGCAGGAAGGGCAGCCGGGGGTGCGCGCTCACGGAGAACCGCTGGCGCAGGGCGTCCGCCTCGGAGGCGGCCGAGCCGTGCGACGCCGTCGCGTCGGCGCTGCCACTGGCGCTGTCACGTGCGGGGAGCGGAGGGACGGAGAGAGTGGAGTGGTCCAGGTGTCAGAGATGCTGAGCCGGCACCACTGAGATCTACTGAGATCCTGGGTTCATATCCAGGGTTCAGGTGCCCATCATTGGGTTCTCGAGTGTTGCGAGAGGTTGGTCTCAGTTTGATATAAAGGGAACCATCGACTTCAGAGAAACCCAGAGGCTGACAGTGAAATCCATAGCCTACATAGAGTGACAGAAGTGATTTCGTGGAATAAAGCCAGAAACACAGCTTTCCCAGGTTCAAAATATCCCTTAGGTTGTTTCGGTAAAGTCACGTAGGTAAAAAATGTAAATTAATAAAATAAAAATAAAAATAAAAAATCACGACGTTTCGGAGGCAACACAAGCTTCCGTCTTCAGGTGGAAGCTTGTGTTGCCTCCGAAACGTCGTGATTTTTAAAAAAAAAAAAATTTATTTTACTTTTATTAATTTTATTTTTACCTACGTGACTTTACCGAAAAAAACCTAAGAATATGAATCCTTGCAGTCACGAAAGCTTCAAATCTAGAATCAAAATATCCCCTTTGCAGTGGTAGGCCTCAGTTATCCATCGAGCAGCCCTGCATTGGTAAGGAGTGCTGCATCACAGGCCCCTTGATAAATGGCGATGTTTGGATCATCACGGCCGATGACGACTTAGACCTCACCTGTACGTGACGAGGGGGTGGAGAGGGATGAAGAGGGCCGGACCGAACTCCACCGAGCAGCCGTGCGTGGACAGCGTGAGGGGCTCCCCGAGGCGAGACACGAGAAGCAGAGCGCCGCGCTTGAGCATGCACGCGAGCAGCGCGTCCCCGCTCAGCCAGCTCGCGTCGCTCACCCAGTACGACCTGCGGCGAGGGGCGGCACGGGGAGGCGTCACGGGGAGGCGTCGTGGCGAGCACCTATCCCACCATTTCTCAATCTCCGCAAACAGCTCTTCCTTCCGATATTAGGAAGCCACTGGAGCTATGCAATTTTAAATCCAGATAGAAAACTCATTTCTTTACAATTGCTTTTAGTGGGTTGTTGTCCTTCCCCCCTCACCTCTGATTAGCACTGTGCAAAAGAAGTTTGACGTACATACATCTCCGAAAATCGCTCCTGCATCCTCCTGAAACTGGCCAACTGGATATCAAATTGTTAATGCCATCCCTGTAAATTGTTGCAATCCCTCAATGCGACATCCGACATCCGGTGAGGAGTTAACAGCTCGCGTCGCCCACCTAGCATGACCAGCGGGCGCCCGCGGTCAACCTGCTGTGAGTCCATCTTCACCGACTCTCACGGTCGATCGTCACAGCGTCAGTTCATACGGTTGACCCCCACCTTCACTGTGCCAATCGTTCCTATGTCAACCCACGCTCTTTGACCCTGCCCCGGCCCCACTCTCCGATGTCAACCCTCACAGCATTAACCCTCAACCCCTGCCGGATCAACCCCTGCCGGATCAACCCCTCCCGATCCAACGCTCCGAGTGTCCGCCCGCCCGCCCGCCCGCCCGCCCACCCTCCGTGTCGACCCTCCCGGCCGTATTCCCGTTCCACGGTGAAGTCAACGGCGGACGCGGGACGCGAGCTGGCGTCTCGGCGGCTCAGGGCGGGCGGGCGGGCGGGCAGCACCGCACCTGATGAACTTGGGCAGCAGGGTGGGGCCACGGAAGCCGCAGCCCTGCAGGTGGGAGGACACCGAGACGCCGCCCGTCGCAGACGTGAACAGCACCTGGTGGCCTGCGTGGCACGGACGACGTTTTACGGTCTTGGTTTGAAGCTTACGTGACTGCAGGAATCCACACTCTTGAGCTACATCCATTTCAAACCTTTAAAAACAGTCAGCCTCAGCAGCAGACCATGCTTTCCCACCTGATGATGGATGCTTGTGTTGCACCCGAAACGTCGTGATTTATTTTATTTTATACCTACGTGACTTTACCGAAAGAACCAAAGAGTATGAGATTTTACGATTCAAGTTGATTTTGTTTAAAACGGGTGAGGCCCGGGTGGCCGGGACAGAGTCTCATTTGCAAGAATGAGTGACCTGGGGTCATCAAAATGGAAGAAGAAAAAAACTATGCAAGTACAGGAAATCAAGCAAATAGAAATTAGATCAAATGGAAAAAATATTGGACAAACATAGATCGATGTTAAATAAATATTCCCTTGAGCGCAAGTTGGCCAAGATAGATTTGGATTGACTGATCATAATACAATTACAATAATGTTACATAAGCATGAAACGGATATTGGGTGACTTTCGTATAAAATGGAAATAGGCAAGGAAATACGATTTCTATTAAAGCTTTCGTGACTGCAGGGATTCATCTTCTTGGTTCTTTCGGTAAAGTCACGTGACTTTACCGAAAGAACCAAGAGAAGGATATACGAGAAGAAGGATATACGATCTTCTTGGTTTTTTCGGTAAAGTCACGTAGAAGGGAAGTAATAAAATAATTAAAATAAAACATAATAAAATAATTCTCACGACGTTTCGGCTACAACGCAAGCAGCCGTCTTCAGGTGAAGAATGAGACACTGCCAAGCTAGGAGCTTATATATAGCTGGGTTGGAGGTGGAAGAAGGGCGCCTTAACAGGCTGTTGTGGCAAGTGCTGTTAGCGAGCATCTATGAAGGCCGGCACGACACATCAGGGGGTGGGTGGCCAGCACCACGTTTTGGCCGGGTGGTGATGTTTACACACCGTACAGGTACTCATTTGAGGCTGAGTTGACCTAGGGAAGGCCGAGGAATGGTTCAGCTTATACACATACACACATGCTTTCAAGCACAGACTACACACACGTGTGCGGCTACACAAATATTGTAGCTGAGTGCAAGATCCAGCAGTGGACAGATCACTGCCGACGATGACGATTGGTGACAAAGTGGAGGATGATGAAGAAGCGGTGACTGGCAGCCCGGCGCTGACCTGAGGGTGCCTCTGGTTGACGGCGATGGCGAGCACGTGCCCGTCGCTGGAGAGACGCGCCACGTACGCTCCGCGCGACTTCACCGCCTCGCACCGCCGGCGAGAGGGAGCCCAATGCACAGGCAAACCCGTGCCACGTGGCACTGAACGCGCCACGCTGGGGAAAGGCATCGGCAATAGCGGCGGTCATGCTCTGTAGTAAGCAACTCATCGTTCGCTCACCCACATACACCGCTCACCCTTCGCTCAACCCACACACAACGCACATCCTTCATTCACCCATATACACCACTCACCCTTCGCTCACCCACACACACCACTCACCCTTCGCTCACCCACACCACACCACTCACCCTTCACTCACCCACACACACCACTCACCCATGACTCACCCACATACACCACTCACCCATCACTCACCCACCACAACCGCACATTCCTTCACTCACCCACACACACCACTCACCCATCACTCACCCACACACAACCACTCACCCTTTCGCTCACCCACACACACCGCTCACCCTTCGCTCACCCACACACACCACTCACCCTTCGCTCACCCACACACACCGCTCACCCTTCGCTCACCACACACACCACTCACCCCTTCACTCACCTACACACACCACTCACCCATTGCTCACCCACACACACCGCTCACCCTTTGCTCACCCACACACACCAACTCACCCATCACTCACCCACACACAACCACTCACCCATCACTCACCCACACACACCACTCACCCATCACTCACCCCACACACACCACTCACCCTTCACTCACCCACACACACCACTCACCATCACTCACCCACACACCACTCACCCATCACTCACCCCACACACCACTCACCCATCACTCACCCACACACACCACTCACCCATAACTCACCCACACACACCGCTCACCCTTCGCTCACCCACACACACCGCTCACCCTTCACTCACCCACACACACCGCTCACCCATCACTCACCCACACACCCGCGCACCCTCACTCACTCACCACCACACCACTCACCTTTCGCTCACCCACACACCCCACTCACCCTTCACTCACCCACACACACCACTCACCCTTCACTCACCCACACACACCACTCACCCTTCACTCACCACGCAAGCGCGTGCTTAGCGGTAGCGCGGGAGCCCCGCAGTGGACTGCGAGGTTGGCGGCAGAGCGAGGGAGGAGGCTCGCGTCTCACCTGAAGAGCGCGTCCGAGCCGTCGAAGCCAGCGGAGAGGAGGCTCGATATGATGAGACTCTGGCCAGCGCTGAACACAAACGAGCAGAGGCAGCAATCGCCCAGCTCCCTGCACGCGACGGGGACCGGAGGGGCGACACCGTGGATTGAGGCGGTACACATCACACACTCAAAGCTACATTGTGACTCGTTTTCCTAAAAAACACTAAGTCGGAACAGAAAAGTAGCAAGTGATGTTGGATATAAGAACTCTGACAGAAGGCTGAGGTCATGCATGCCCCATGTAATTAACCGACTAATTAACTGGCAAACAAGCTAAATAAGACCAATTACTGTGGCCAGCACCTGACCTCTGCTCCGCTGTGCAAGAAGCGGAGCTGTGCTCGTGAGCACGAGTGGCAGCAGCCCCATTCTCCGAGCCCTCAATCGCACGCACATGCGTGCAGGAACTAATGCTGCGGTCAGCCTAATCGTTAGCAGCTGCGCTGGGCATTGTGCTCTGTCTTTTTCCACAGGTGCAGAATTTTAATTGTTCAACTCAGCGCTCCAAATAAGCTACGTCCAGGGATCTCAAAGGCAGTTCTGTTGATTAAATCCTTTATATTAAGTTCACTTGCTTGCTTGCTTGCGCGCTTACGACCGTGCAAATCTTTCGGTCGTTTTTTAACCCACTTCCCGTGATCCAATCGAGCTGATATTTTCATGAAAATTTTTTTCCATAACTTTACACTTTTTAGGAATTTTTTTTATATTTAATTACCAATTGCTTAATGGTGGCAGGCAATCATCTGACCCATAGGTGGCAGCCATCTCAAGCCAGAGGACGAGAGGACTCTAGCCGCCACGCATATAAAGGATTTATAGTGAAAAACTTTGTTTTTACAGGTTAATTTTTATTTCACTTTCGTGGACTCTTCTCCAACACGAAGAGTTGGACTGCTCTGCGAGCATTCCAGATGTTTCCTACTCATGAGGCCAATAGCACAATAACCTGCTGCTGGATTAAGGCCTCCCAACGCTCTCTAGCTCCAGCGCCGGCGCTCACCGGATCTGTGAAGAACACCGCGTGCGCCGCGGCCTCTTTGTCGGCGGCGCCGGGCAGCGGCACGTCGCTAGGCGGAGGCAGCTGAGCCCAGCGGCCAAGCAGGGATGTGAGCCTGGCACGGCGTGCAGGGGGCCATCCACCCCGCGCAAGCTCCCACAGGAGGGGCCCGTCCGGGGCCCCCCCCAGCAGCACGCGCCGGCCCTCGTCCGAGGGGAGCACCCACAGACGGGCGTTCGATCCTGGGAGCAAAGGGCAGTTCGACGCTCGTGGTCTGTTCGTATTAGCGAGCGGTGTTGTTTTAAATTGCAATTCCTTATCCTCGTTGTGTGAGATTTTCCTCGCCTTCTAATCGGATTGCAACTCTCCAATCGGTTCAGCGGCCTCCTTTGTCGGCGATTTTGTAATGAGTTAATCGTAAGGCTCTACAAATCCTAATGCTCAGCAGAGCAGATGGGTGACATCAAGTCACGTGTAACTATGAGGCGTGTGATGATTCCTTATCGTCTGGAGTTGTAGGACCCCCAGGCAAACATTTGCACAGGTTCAAGAATCCATTTTACTATCATCCCCTGGCCACCTCACAACTCAAGCCCACAACACTTAATATATTCGGTGAGGTGGCTGGGAAATGCCAGTACAATAAGTGGGTTGTGCGAGAATTCAGATGAGCATTTATCGCTACTGCCCTGGCTGCGTTTGTTGGCCCTGTACAACCGCTAACACCAACCCAGCCCTGTCCCTTCAAGTTTCAAGTGTATTTAGTTCCATCTTCTTGGTTCTTTCGGTAAAGTCACGTAGAAGGGAAATAATAAAAATAAAACATAATAAAATACAATTCTCACGACGTTTCGGCCACAATGCAAGCAGCCATCCTCAGGTGAAGAACAGGGCTGTCGGAAAGACAGCGTCATTCAGAAAAGACAGCGTCATTCAGACGCTGTCTTTCCGACAGACCTGTTCTTCACCTGAGGACGGCTGCTTGCATTGTGGCCGAAACGTCGTGAGAATTTTTTTTTATTGTTTCATATTAATATTCTATGATTATTTCCCTTCTACGTGACTTTACCGAAAGAACCAAGAAGATGAATCCCTGCAGTCACGAAAGCTTTAAATCGAAAAGTATTTAGTTTATCCAGGTGGCGACAACTCGGGAGGCCAGGATGAGTCCCGTTTGCATGAGTGACGCGGGTCACCAAAATAACAAGAGCAATAACGTACACACAAGTACAGCCTTGAAGCATATAGAAATAACAGCAAAAAAACACCATATGGCAGCAAAGACAGCCAAACAGAACTCAGGGCAGAGACAACCGCGTTCCACTTCTTGGCGAGTGGTGTGCCAGGCGCGTCACCTTGTTCGCCCGCTCTGCTCGTGAGCGCGAGCACGGCCGGGTGGGCGGGTGCCGTCTTCAGAGAGTCCGTGTCCTTGTGCCACAGGAACAACTCCCCGCTCACCAGCACGCCAGCGAGCCACGCGCCTGCATCCGCACACAAGGACAGACAACACAAACCACAGCATCAGCCAGTGCCAGCAGGAATCTGGTACCCACAAAAACCGGTACCAGCAAAATCCGGTAGCCATGAAATCCATTACCCACGAAATTTGGTTCATGAGTAATGAAATCTGGCACCAGAAAAATCCACTACCCATAGATATCTGGTACCTCAAGATCTGGCATTAGCTTAATCCAGTAGCCATGAAATCCATTACCCACGAAATTTGGTCATGAGTAATGAAATCTGGCACCAGAAAAATCCACTACCCATAGATATCTGGTACCCAAGATCTGGTATTAGCTTAATCCAGTAGCCATAAATCCATTGCCCATGAAATTTCGTTCATGAGTAATGAAATCTGGCTCCAGAAAAATCTACTACCCATAATATCTGGTACCCAAGATCTGCCATTAGCTTAATCCAGTAGCCATGAAATCCATTAACCATGAAATTTGGTTCATGAGTAATGAAATCTGGCACCAGAAAAATCTACTACCCATAGATATCTTGTACCCAAGATCTGGTATTAGTTAATCCAGTAGCCATGAAATCCATTACCCATGAAATTTGGTTCATGAGTAATGAAATCTGGCACCAGAAAAATCCACTACCCATAGATATCTGGTACCTCAAGATCTGGCATTAGCTTAATCCAGTAGCCATGAAATCCATTACCCATGAAATTTGGTTCATGAGTAATGAAATCTGGCTCCAGAAAAATCTACTACCCATAGATATCTGGTACCCCAAGATCTGGCATTAGCTTAATCCAGTAGCCATGAAATCCATTACCCATGAAATTTGGTTCATGAGTAATGAAATTTGGCTCCAGAAAAATCTACTACCCATAATATCTGGTACCCAAGATCTGGTATTAGCTTAATCCAGTAGCCATGAAATCCATTTCCCATGCAATTTGGTTCATGAGTAATGAAATCTGGCTCCAGAAAAATCTACTACCCATAGATATCTGGTACCCAAGATCTGGCATTAGCTTAATCCAGTAGCCATGAAATCCATTACCCATGAAATTTGGTTCATGAGTAATGAAATCTGGCTCCAGAAAAATCTACTACCCATAATATCTGGTACCTCAAGATCTGGTATTAGCTTAATCCAGTAGCCATGAAATCCATTTCCCATGAAATTTGGTTCATGAGTAATGAAATCTGGCTCCAGAAAAATCTACTACCATAATATCTGGTACCCCAAGATCTGGCATTAGCTTAATCCGTAGCCATGAAATCCATTAATCATGAAATTTGGTTCATGGATAATGAAATCTGGCACCAGAAAAATCCACTACCCATAGATATCTGGTACCCCAATCTGGCATTAGCTTAATCCAGTAGCCATGAAATCAGAGGTGCCATATAAATTGGGCACCCAAGGAATGGGGCAGCAGTGTGGGCGCTTGAGGACTTGCCGTTTCTGGACGGAGCCATGGCGACGACGCGCGGGAGCAGCGAGTGGAGGCGTGGAACGCGGCGCCGCGTTCGTCCCGACGGGAGGAAAAGTACCGAGGCGCGGCGTTCGTCCAGCAGCAGCAGGTTCTCCGAGTCCTGGTGGTGCCGGTGCCGGTACCGGCGGCGGCGGCACCGGTGTGGCGCACGGAGAAGACGGTGCGAGATTAGCCGTGGTTTACAGCGAGGCGCAACCTGGATGTGGTCGGGTGGCTCATGGGTGGTTCATAATGGCTGCGTCAGAGACACTGAGATGTTTGTTGCATGGCGTCAAAATAACGTTGTATTAAATTTCGATTTAAAGCTTTCGTGACTGCAGGGATTCATCTTCTTGGTTCTTTCGGTAAAGTCACGTAGAATTGAAATAATAAAATAATAAAAATAAAACATAATAAAATAATTCTCACGACGTTTCGGCCACAACGCAAGCAGCCGTCCTCAGGTGAAGAACAGGTCTGTCGAGGAGTGACTTTACCGAAAGAACCAAGAAGAACGTTGCATTATTTTATTATCATGCTGGTTTACCCTGGAAATCCCCACTGAATCTCATGACGATTTTCAGGAGGGTCCTGCCAAATTTTCGCAAGAGGGAGGCGATGATTGCTATGCGTAATGTAAAAGTAATTATTTGCGGAATCATTACAAAGAAATCTTCTTTATACTTTTCAATTCCCAGCGCTGATATTTTTACCCAACCTTTTTCGTGATGACATTTTAGTGCAGTCACCATCAGCTCACTACACTTGAGCACCACGATTACACAAGGCCGGATGACCGAAACCTGGATTCGAACTCAGGCTCCCCACGGCACCAGCTCAGTAATCTCACCCATAAGCCACGTGGCCTCAACTCCCATGCCAAAGGTAGAGAGTTAAGCACCAAAACCAAATCCACGCAGCTCGACACATCCACGGCACGGGTGGTTTAACCACCGGCTATTCGCTGAGCAATGCCGGAACCACACCGCGACAGACACACTGAACCTGGCTCGGGACGAAACAGGGCCAGGGCCTGGGACAATGACGCGTCCGGCGCATGTGACGTCAGCGGCACGGCTCGGCTTGTGCAGTTGAAAAACCGGGTGCCTCTAGAACCGTGCCAAACTGGTTGTATGGTGGGGAATAAGTATAACCCGTAAAAACAAAGTTTTTCACTATAAATCCTTTATATGCGTGGCAGCGAACTTAATATAAAGGATTTAAAATATATTCGCCTGTGGAGGACGCGGGGATCGATCCCGCGACCTTTGGCATGGGAAGCGAGGGCGCTACCAACTGCGCTACTCCGCCACGGCCTGTGGAGGGGTTACGCTCTGGGCTCTTACACTGTGACGTTCAGCCAAAGTCATGAATGAGTTCTATTTGAATATATGTAAAATATTTTTTTTTTGCCTAAAAAGTGTAAAATTTGGGGAATTTTTTTTCACGAACATTAATTGTCTGGCACAACGAGTTTGTGTGGAAAATGTCAGCTCGATTGGCTCACGGGAAGTGGGTTAAAAAACGACCGAAAGATTTGCACGGTCGTAAGCAAGCAAGCACGCAAGCAAGCAAGCACGCAAGCAAGCGAACTTAATATAAAGGATTTAAAAAGTACAGTAAGTCTTGTGTCAGCAGCCATCCTACCAGGCCCATCCATCTGATCTGAGGCCATGGCTTCCTTCGCTTGATGCTGGCCAGGGCCAGAACCTCCAATCTTCCCTGCATACTCCTGCAGAAGCCTGCACACACAAGTAGACACACAGGCTGCTGATGATGCTGCAGATGTTTTATGTTACTGATGATGATGCTGCTGATAATTATGATGCTCACGCTGATGATGCTGCTGCTGATGATAGTGCTTATAAAGATGTAACTACTTATGCTGATGATCATGCTGATGGTCACGCTGCCGATGATGATGCTACTAATGATGACAACGTTGCTGCTGCTAAAAAGGTGCTAATGGTGATGCTGCTCATGATGACAGTGATGGTGCTGATGGCACATTTGATCGTGTGGATGATGATGATGCTTATAATAATGCGAATAAGTTGTAACTTTTGACGCTACTGAATAGAATGCTGACGAAAAATGCTGCTGATGGCAATTATACTGACACTGAAGATGCTTCTGATGCTGCTGTTGCTTAGACTGAATATGCTGGTTATGTTGGTTATGTTGGTGCTGTTGCTGCTGCTAAAGATGCTGATGATAATGCTTCTGCCCATGATGATGCTGGTGATGATGATGATGCTGATATCACTGCTGCTGATGTAGCTGAGGATGTTGCAGCTGCTAGTGATGTTGCTGCTGATACCGCTGCTGATGATGAATGCTGCTGATGATGACTGCTGCTGATGATGCTGATGATGATGAGGCTGGTGCTAATAAGGCTGATGCTAATGAGGCTGCTGATTATGATACTGGTGCTGATGATACTGGTGCTGCTGATGATAAATGCTGCTGATGATAAGGCTGGTGCTAATAAGGCTGATGCTGATGATGCTGATGAGGCTGCTGGTGCTGATGATGATGTTGATGATGATGCTGATGATGATGTGGCGCTCACCGCGACCCCCGCCTCAACTCTTCCTGTTCAGTCCACGCCGCCGCTGTCGCTCGCGTCCATCCTCACCGCCTCGCGGTGCCGCTCCCC